AAAAATCAAACGGTTTTCAACGTCAATCAATCGTGCGAAACTATTTCAATTGATTGAAGAGACTGAAATCAAATTGGATGAGCTTTCGTTTGAAATTCATGAATTTGATAAACCAACTGCCGAAATGACTCGAGATCGACTCAATGCTCTTCACAAGAAAGGACACTACAAACGGTTGAAAGTGTCTTATTACAAGGGAAATAATCTCGTAGATTTCGTCGACATAGTTGAAGGAATCGAGGGTTTGGCTGGCGTTGAGTTCGTTCATTGCTTATATAATGGCAATTTGAATAATGAAATGAATCATGTGGCCAAAGCCCTGGCTAAATTGAAACATTTGCAGGAGCTAGGCTTTCGACAATGTGAAATCTCACTAGTTCAAGTTGACATCTTATCGAGAGCACTGGTCAACCTTCAACAGCTCAATTTGGAACGTAATTCAATTGATATGGCCATCCCATTTGCTCGACGATTACCGAAATTGAAGATAATCAAAGTTGGCGTTGAATCAACACCCACCGGTATTGATATCGAAGATTTGCAGAATGATCGACAAAAACTGCACGATGCCGAAAAACTTACAATTTATTTACCCGAAGAGACGTACATTCATATCAAATGGACGGCCAAAAAAGTGAAATATGGTTTGATAGAAATAAAACGAGATGCTTCATTTGAACCGATCTGTTGATTTGTAATAAGTTTTTCGGACAAGTGATTTACTTCAAAAATAAATGAATTAACAAAATTGAGATTTGATTTGATTTTTTTTTTGAAAAATTCCTTGGCAAATTTCATCGATGTTGACCTCAAACGTGAATTTGATTGATTCTAAACTCCTTCTTCATGGAGGCCATCAACACTATAAAAACTACATAAAAATCAATAGCAGCAGACGATACTTTTCCTGTCTTTTATTTTAGCGTAAGAACCGGTGATGAAACGACTTTTTTAAAAGTCAAATGACCATCAAACTAATGAAGGCACAGTAAAACATAGGGACTACATTTTAAACAAGGCATTAAAAATTAATCAATTCTTGTGTGATTGAACTTAAATTACTTCATTTTATAAAATTTCTTGTGGCAACCGATGAAAGGGCGAAAAAACATGCAAAGTCATGAATAAATATTTAATGAATATTATTTATCGAGTTAACTAAAATGTCGTTCGGAGTGGAATACTCACCATCACTTCGGCTCACGAACGTCACGACACCATACGCTAAGTCAATAATTTACTATGTTCGATTATCTTCGTTCGCTTGCCCACCAGAAATGTGAGTTCCATTTTTCATGCGCCAACCAAATATTTTGATATTGTTTACCGATGAAGAAAAGAAAACAACAACAACAACAACAACACAATGAAACCACAAACATTTACCAAAGCACGAGACAACGGAACTGGTACCACGCCTTGTTTGCATTCAGGCTTTCTCTCTACGCTTACACGCTTTCGTCGGAAATTCCTACCGAATAACAGATAATCGACATGGCACCGCCCAAACCGGCTGCATATCGCGACCTAATTCGTATTATATACTTAGATTACGTTTAAGACGCAAACGATACACTATACCGATGGCGTTGCAGAAGAACATTGTGAATGTGATATGAGAGTGAGGATTAGATATTTCGGTAAAAAATAAAATAAAATGATGATTTTGTCATATTTTAAATTGTTTCTTATTTTCATTGCAACATGATATTATTTTAAAGAATAAAACAAGATATTTTAAGTGAAACATTCAAAAAAATTCTAAACCATCATCAGAATATATTTTTGTCCTTCAAATATTGAGAACATTTTTTTCTTTTCATTTGACTACGGGACGTACAAAATAAAATATTTTCAAAGTTGAAATAGTATTTAATCGATTAAAAAACTTTTAAAATATCATTTGAAAACATAAACGACATGAAGTAAAATGTGATTTAATGGAAATGTCTGGAGTTGTTTCCAATTTTCTTCATGAAAAAACGAATTCATCGGAGAACTAAAACAAAGCAACTTTCTTATGATTTTGATTTTTATTTGAAATTGAAATAAAAAGACGATTCAAATGAACGAAGCCGAAAACGCAATATCTGTTTACCTTTTCAATGTTGTCAGCGACATCTGACTGAGCCATCGGAACAATATTCTCACTTCAAACTATAATTTTTTATTAAGTTTTGAGTGAAATTTTTTGCAACATTCTAAATTCAAATTTGGCGATTTATTGATTAATTCCATTTAAATTGAACAATTTTAGCAAATTCAAGTTTTAAATGTTCAAACTCTCCGAATAGATTACATTCAAACCTCGAAAATCTCGTTTGGTGTGCATCACTACAGTGATACAGAGTTATTTGAACGCGGTTTTCGTTTGTACGTAGATAAAGAAATGATTTATCCACTTACTTCTTCAGTGAGAACTGTATGACTTCAAAAAGCTTCAGAAATTGTTATATTCGAAAATGTATAAATTAATTAAGCACATTCATATTCGCTGCGTTTCTATTTGGGATAATTATTATAATTTTTTTTCAAATTCTTTTTTTTTTCATAAATATATATTCTTTACGTATTTTACCGATTCAAATGATTGCCGGTGGTTTCATGGCCCATCAATTAATGAAGAAAAACAATGAAATTTTCTACTTTAAAATTGTTTTTATTAACATTGAAATAGTAATTATGAGTTAAATAAAAAAAATTACAACTTTCTCGCTATACGTTGAAATCCAGTTGATCCTCACACATACAAATCATGATTTAGTTATTACTATCAAGTAACTGTTTATAATGTCCATTGAAGACACTATGGTAGGCAATATAGTTCCCTACATAAAGACAACATTTAGCTGCAATTCCATTCGTTTCCAAGTTCACGTCCATGTCCACGTACACGTACACGATCACAAATATATTCCGGTGCAGTCATATTAGATTTACACAGATTACACAGCCCTCCTGAACGTATCCCATGGTTTCTCCATTCAAGAAGAAAATGGAATTCCAGTTAGCGCGAACGGTGGTCATCAAAGTGCGTCGTATATTGGTATTCATTTGTGCGAAAACAATGGCTGAACTATTATTATCGATGCAAATTGTTTCAATATGTTTAGCAACGAAACGGGCGTGTGGACATGATTTCGAAAATCCAAATGGTATTTCCAAGATATGGGAATACACCGAAGTTGTGACACCTTCACTAAAATGTCTGACACATTCATAGAAGATTTGTAGTTGAACTTCTTCATTTTCAGGAATAATCGTTACTTCTAAAGTACAATGATTTCTATTTGTGCATCCTCCTTTTATTGACTCTACTGTATTCGAATCGAGTTTATAACCATTCCCATCATTACATTTCACTTGATTTATTTTAAGTAATTCATCCGAGTTCAAACATTTTATATCGTGTCTTCAATTTTCCGTTATAATTTTGGTTATTTTCGAGCGTTTATTTGAATGACGATTGAAATTAAAATGATCAGAAATGAATACCAGAACATTTTCACTGATTTTTGTGTGTCTGTTGTAAAAGTAATTTTAAAACTGTTTCGTACATTCAATTAAACCATATTTTTATGGAGGACATCATCAATTAAGGCAATAAAAAATACATGGGTATTGAGAAAGCGAATGCCAAAAACGATAAATTTTTTGTTTTCTCCGAAAAAACGGATTTCTCCGGGAATTTTCATTTCATCTGAAAATATTGGTCATAGTGCAAGATATATCGAACAAAATACTTATCTTATCAGCTTCATGACCGAAAATATACACAAGCATACAGCTAAACCTATACTACACGGAGTGTTTTACCCTTATCAGTTTAGCAGTATTACGAATTGTGAATTCAATTTTAATTTATTAAATTTTTCAATAATAATACGTCACGATCGACTTGATTTTTTATTCCATGGAAGTTAAAAGGTTAGTCAGTTTTTTTTTCAGTAAATATGACAAATTATGAAAATCAGTAAATAGTGGAAGTAGTAATAGAGCTCTCGACACATTTCATTCCGGCATTTGCGCTTGACCAGCCACTTCTTCATTTGCCCTGCAAAATTAATAATATTTGAAATCTCTCGTGTGAAGAGCATCTCCATATGAGTAGTTTGGAGCGAAAATGGTATACAGAAAAGTTGAGAGGAAAAATGTCAAATGAAAAGAGATAGCTATATAGTTCACTATAGTTTACTATATAGCTATCCCTTTTCCGCTCATTCATCAACGACATTTTTCCGCTCAACAGAAAACTGTATAACATTTTCGCTCCAAACTACTCATCATAGTACATGCATTTTGTAGATTTTTTAAATTGGACTGCTTTTTCTATTCTAATGACTAATGATGACATAATTTAGCTGAAAGTGAACCAATTTTATACGTAAATAATGTCATACGATCGTGTTTTTCCCAGTCGCATAAACCATTTTAATTTCATTTTCATTTATTTCATACAATCAATTTGACATTATTTATCCTTGTCAGTCTATATCCTAGGTCAATTCTAATCAATGAAGGAAAAAACCATTCTTTATTATTTTGTACAAAAGAGTTTTACGATGATTACTTAAATATTTAACTTCACTGGAAATGTACCATTTATGGTATGTGAGTATTTGTCGATGTTGCTCGAATTCATTAAAATTTGTGTTCAGAATAATAAAGTTAAATTGAACGAAGCCGAAAAGGCCGCTTCATTATTTGACCTTTTTACAGTTATCAGCGACATCTGTTGAGCCATTTTGAAATTGCGGTGCAGTAAGTCGTAATCAGTCTACAAACATCATTGGTATGAAACAAAGAAATAAAATCGAAAACGTTTCGCACTTTGAACGAAAAATTATTATTTCTATTTTTCAGTCAACCGTTTCTCACTTGTTGGCTCTAACACAAATAAAATGATAAAAAAATTGAATAAAATCAAAAAATTTATTCTAAAGTTCCAAATGTTCAATCGAACCTTTTCAAACGGTTCACATTTAAAACTCGAAAATCTCGTTTGGTGTGACAGTTCTCGAAAGTATCATTCCAGCTATTAGGTCATTTGAACGCAGTATTTGTTTGTGTGTAGATGAAAAAATAAATGCGTAAAAAACAGTCAAAAAGAATTTGCATGAACAAGTGAAAGTTTGAACGATGAATTACGGTTTCTAAATCCGGAGAAAAGTGGAAATTAAACGAGATTGAAGAAAAGTTCATGTAAAGCGAACCGAAAAGATGGGACGGAAAGCAAAAGACGCGGCTCAGAAAAAAATTGGCGAATGGACGGGCTCACGACGTAATGTGTCAAAAACAACAACAAAGAGCGAAAATACCAATGCATCAAATGAAAATCGTGCTCCGCTGCAAACACATTCACAAAGTGATATCAATGCCATGAAAAATTGTACCGTTCGATTGGAAGTAATGCGAATGGAGCCAAAAACCAGCGAAGCTGCTGCAAGTAAAGTACCGGTGAAAAAAGGTGTTCCAGATGATGGTGATGTCATAATCAAGGACAAGCAAGCCGATGCAAAAAATGTATACGACTACTCGTTTGACGTTGATGACGATCCGGGTCCGATGAAAGAAACGGAAGAAGGTATGAAAGATCTTTTCGAAAAATTGGCTAAAGACGGTCTGATTGAAGTGAAAAAATATCGACCAAAAAATGTTGGAAAGAAGAAGAAAGTGGATGATAAGGGACCGGTTAAAAAGGAAGCCACACAGAAACGTCGCCGTGAAAAGCAACCAATTGATGTAGAGCCACCGCGAAAGAAACCTAACCTGAAAACAAGAGTGGCCAAAGTTGATGTTGCGAAAAGTGATACAACATCAGCAAACACAGCTGCGTTACCACCGCCAAAGCGTAATGTTGACGCGGAAAATTTGGCAAATAACAATGTTCCAGCCAAAAAAGTGACGTTTGAATCCAAGCAAACTGCGAACGTAAATGTTGCCATTCGATCGAGTCCACGCAAACAGGCGACCATAGTCGATAGCGAAAACATAAATGCACAGCCACGGCTACGAAACCGGGTTCTAAACAATTTCCAGTCAACACCGAAGCCATCTGCACCAAAGTCATCCACACCGCTTGGCACAAAAGCACCAGCCCAAAACAAGGGAAACAACCGATCATTAAATTCTTTGTTCTTTGATAATGCATCGCCGCTTGTTGGCTCGACCAGAGCTACACGAGGCAATCTTCAAAAGCATCGCCTGCAATTGTCGGCAATAAATGATGGTCCAGAAGATGTGCCAACCACAAAATTGGGCCAAAATCCAGAAAATGAGTGTGTACCACCAGTGGACATCTTCGATGACGACGACTTTGATTTCGGTAACAATATGGCCAATGAACCAGTACCAGATGTTGTTGTTGACAAGGAAAATTCGTGGGACCAACCCAGCACCAGCGCAGCTGCTTTGAGTGCACAAAACAAACCGGGAACCAGCAAATCCGCTTCAAGCTTGTGGGATCAACCAAGCACAAGCGCAGCAGCCTTGCTGTGGGATCAACCGAGCACAAGCGCAGCAGCCTTGCTGTGGGATCAACCAAGCACAAGCGCAGCCGCCTTGCGTGCATTGGACAGGCCTGAAACGAGTGCAACGACATCAAAGTCTTCTTCGAATGTGCAAAAAAAAGCGGCAACCGGTATTTTACGGCCGCGCGATCAGCCAAGTACTAGCGCAGCTGCTCAAACGCCACGTAGAGAAACCGATCACAGCATCTTCGAGATTCAAGACACAAGCGAACACAACATCTTTTCGCCCACAAAACGAGTGCAACGCGTCTACGGTCGAAGCCCTTTGAAAAATATCGTAAGTTATTTTTTTTATTGGCAAAAATTTGAACTTTTTTATTCTGTTGTGATTGAAAATATTTTCTGCGTCTATTCCAGACAAGTGAAGTGAACAACACCAATTCACCAAGTTTTGAATCGGTCAAATCGATGCCACGCAGTTTTGGCACGCTCCCAAAGTCAACACTGAACTCGATCCAAACCGTCAACTCAACGAAAGACACTAGCCTCACATTACCAGAAGCATCGTACTTTTCATCGCGCCGTGTGGCCCAAGATTTTGATCGCAACATTGACAATCAACATTTCGTTGATAATTGCTTTGGTTTCGACGATGGCGATGATGAGGATATCACCAACGAAACTGCTAACAATGAATCGGAACATGCTCAAACCATTGATAATGATTTCTCGAAATCTGGATCGAACAAAATGGAAGAACTTCGCGCCCGACTCAAACGATTCCGTCAAAATCCCGATGCTGAGCCAAATGAAAGCGTTAAAATGGCAAAAGTCACCGCAACGGTATCAGAGAAAAATAAAGCAAAGAAAGGCAAAACACCGACCAAGACTCCGACGAAAACTCCGGCAAAAACTCCGGCGAAAACTCCGGCAAGAACTCCGATAAAAAGAGCCGCAAAAACGGACAAAAGTCCAGAGAAGGTAAAGCGAAATATCGTATTTGGTGACACTGGTGCCAAACAGAAAGACATTCGGAGTGCATTTACGGTCAAACCGACTGACAAGCATTCCAAATCCGACAAATCCAAGGACACTCCAGTTGCGATTCTATTCGGAGAGGTTGAAACGGTATGTGAAGTTTGGTTGAAAATATTTCGATTTATAAAAACATTTCATATCATCTGGATAAATGAAACGATTGTGATCAATTTTTTTTATGATCGATTTTTTGTTTGATTTTATTCAACTATTTTTCAATTTCCTAACCAATTTCATGAATCATGTTCCTAACCTAATTTTATTTGTCATTTTTTCTTGTACTAGGTTCAAGACAGGCGACGAAGCTACAGTCGACCGCAACGTCAACGCAAGCGACGCATTTCGATTGATTCAGACGAATCGGAGGAGGAGGAGGAGAAGCACAGCGATGATGAAGACTTTGACGAAAACGGAAAGTCCCCGAAACGTGCCAAACGTCGAAAGAAAACCGCTGAACCAAATCCCAAAGTAAGACTTTCAATCAAACAAATTTTCTTGTTTTTGCAAGGATGATCGAACAATTTTCAATTGAATTTATTTACTCAATACTTTTTCCTTTATTCACAGGAACTTGAAGAATTGGATGAATTCGCCAAGAAGCTCAACGAGCATTTCGAAGAAATTGACAGTTTCGATGTGATAGTCGAATGAATGAATTCTTTAAATCACAAAACAAATAATGGCTGGCTCAAACATTCAAAATGAAATTAACACATAAGCATACAAGAAACTCTTATATTCGTAGTAGTCGTATTTATCCAAGTGAAAGTTCAGAACGAGACTAATTTAAACACAACAACAATAATAAACTTTATAAAGTTTGACAAAACAAAAATATTCATAGTATAAAATATATATGACATATCTTATGAATTCCATACTCTGAATGAGATCTCCCATTAGTGCTGCCAGTTGAACCAAACTGTTCATGTTCGTTCAAGTTCGTTCAAGTTTTTTATGAACTTGAACGAACATAAACATTCTTTTTCATGTTTTGAACAAAGTGAACTGAACATGAACGAACATGAACATGGGAGACTCCCATATAAATATATATGTATATATTACGCATAAAACCAGTGTACTCAGATTAAATATACACAACCACCCCTTCACAGCAATTAGTTTACCACATATTATCCGATAATTCGATTGGTAGACACATACATACAATACCGGAGCTTAGACATATACATCACTATACCAAGAAGAAAAAGAGAAGAAAAAGAATATGACACAAAAAGAATACAAACAATTTGTCTGTTTGTAAAATTTGTTTTGGTTACTCATAACCTTTTATTCAAAATAAGATCTATTTTTTTTTTGAGACGCATATAAATATTTAAGTACAAGAAATATAAAAAAGTTGTCATCTTAAAGTCTACAACCATGAGTATTTCATTCCGTGTTTTGTTAACTTTGTTTTTTTTTGTTCGTTTTTCTTCTAAGAGAGTTCTTTGTGTATAATAAAATCCCAAGTATCTTTCCATCGCAGAGCGATTACATCATCAGCTGTGATGGCATGACCGTCGATTTGAAGTAGTCCGTACGTGAGTACTGAAAACTTCTGGAAGACATAAAAAGTGCCAACGAGCCAAACACAAATACCGATGCGATAGTACAAAGTGATTTTTTCGGATTTAAAAAGTTGCCGCACCACATCGTGGATGTGTTCAATCATGAAGCACAATAACATTATCTTAAATACTAAAGCCGGCAAGTAATTGTGTAAAAACATTGTACGTTCGACGAAAAAGTACGGCAAAAAATGAAGGAGGTAGCCTGCGAAGAGTATTTCACCGCATCGATTGAATTGTACCCAAGTGTGTTCGTCGATATCGTAACAAAATCGGCGACGTCGAAGTAAATAAATGCTCAAAAGTGTGACATAGAGTAGAAGAGATGCCACACCTGAGTACCACGTCGCTACGTTTCCGAGCAAATGGATTTGAGCGTTGGAATTTTTGTCCACCCAATAAGCGATCCCTTTGCTCATCAATGGCCAGTCAAGCGGTTCGGAACTGTACATATGAGTTTGTACCGCTTCCGATGCCGATGGCCATAACATTTTGAATTGAATCTCCATGAATTTCTCAAAGAATGTTAAACTCGTCGGTTTGGTTGGAATCATTTCAGCTTTGACCATTTGACGCTCACGTTCGCGTTGATCGGCCGTTTTTGTATATCGATGTTCTTCCACATTCCAAACAGAGTCCATGTGATCGATGTTTCGGTCGGCAACAATTTCATGCTGATTAAAACCCCAATCAGGTAATTGACGCCCGCTGAAACGTAATGCTGCTCCAGTGACAATGTGAATGAAACGTACATGTGATTTAATTGTGTGCCAATCATTGCCTTCGCTGGCTTTGTTAAGGATGTCAACCTTCCATAGATTTTGTGCCGGCATCGATATGTTGTAGTCGATGTAGCATGAAACCTCTTGACTTTGTGGTGTCACCGCAGAAGCAACATCATGTGAATTCAAGGCTCGGCTGGTAATGCCGTGGATTAGTTGAATCTCATCGCCATGTTTAATCACATCAACTTCATCATTTTCAACGACCAAATCATCTTTGTTAGCCCGTTTCACTATCCACCAATTGTTGACATCTTTGAAACTATAACACGTTACTTGCTGCTGATGACTTGAGCCACGTTTGTCCGCGTATCGAACGGGATAGACGTGTGCATGAGAATGAAGCCAACAAGTGCGTCCATGGGTGTGTCGCAACGTGATTTGTGAGCCATGTGCCACATTCAATGGTTGACCTTTGGGTTGAAAAAAAAAACAAACAAACATTATCAAAATAAATATTAGCAATATCATTAATCGTTTACCTTTGGTAATTGATGCCAGCCCACCCTCAAGGGATGCCTGGAATGCACTTGTCATCACGCTGTCATGCGGGCCGGCTTTGTTCAACACAGCCAAATGAATCCAAAACACCGCTAAATACACTGCAATTGGAACGGCAACAAACACCAACGAACGGAAGATCACTTGCAATGCAATCGAAATGTTGGTATTCTGACGACTGCCCAGCATTTGCCACACTTGCGACAATCCAATGAACATGCCCAGCAAACACGAATAAATTGCCACATACTTGATGCACAGTGCACAGGTGAAGCAAATTGCAGACAGAACTCCGTACAGTAACATTGACACGATCAAATCAAATCGATCGGGTATTGAAGTGGTTTCGGTGAGTTGGTCATAACATTGTTGATATTTTAACAACAGTAAAATCGCAAGTATGGAAAACATCAACAGCATCGGTTCCATGAGAATGAATTGCGACTGGGTAACCAGTGAATTTTCAATGATGATCAGCACACCGCCTAAAGTTGCTGTCCACACACTCAATTTCAATTGACGAAGTAACTGATATACGATTGGTACCAGAAGACTACCGCACAACGCTGGAACAAAACGAAGCCAGAAAATTGGAACATTCTCCGTGTATTCGGTTCCAATTTGGGAAAAGGTGAAGTTTCCATTGTATCCAACGAAATTGGCAACAGCAGATATCAATTGTTTCCCCAGTGGTGGATGCTGATCGAAGAAGAACGTTCGTTTCAAGTACAATGACACATATTTGCCATAGTGTAGCTCATCAAATACGATGTTGTTCGGTTCACTAAGTCGATAGAATCGCGTACACAGTGCAACAACAAACAGTGTAATCGATATAACATCGATTTCGAATGTAATTCGAAATTTGTGCGGTATGGCAATTTCTGGTAAATTAGCGATTTTTGCTCCATTTGCTGCTGGTATCAACGGTTGTGATACGCTTGTGATGCTTTTTCCATCCGATTGGATACTTTCAATACGTTCTGAATCACTTTCATTTATATCGGATGATCGATCATCGTTAGACGGCCTAGATTCTTCTGGTTTTTTCGTCACATTTTTCGATTCACCACTGATGATATTACGATTTTTTCGCTTTCTCACTTCCGAATCCATTTTATAATTTACACACAAATCTCAATGTTTGCCAACCAATCTCAGTCATTATTTTCCAATTAGCCGAATGTTTCGATTGAATTTTGACTTTGGAATGTTTATGATATTCACAGTGCGTCTTTCTTAATACATTTTCTCTGTGTTTTTTTTTGGCGTTTAACGGCACTCACTTGTTGACACTTGTACACATCAACAAAACTCAATGGAATTCCATGGTGTTGACGTAAACACGTAAACAATTCAAATACAAGCATCGGTTTGAACGTATAGGTGATGGTGTAAATAATGTGGATTATAGGTAAATTACCTATCGAAAGGACTCGACATTTTTGTTAAAAATTTAGCTGAAAAATACACCCAATTAGTTTAAAGCCTTAAAATTATTCTTTCACACCACAAATGATTTCATTTCTTATAAAACATGAAATTTCCCCAAAAATTCCTTTACTAGACACCAGCGCCACCAGTTTGACAGGTTGGAAACGTGTGGAACTCTCCACCGTGTGACAGCTTCAAATTACGATACGTCTTTTGAATACGTATTATTTGGCACGAAAATTCCATTGACACACACACACATTTCGCTCACCTTTTCTGTTGCAACAAATTCTGTAAAATTTCTAGTGATCCAAAAAGTGAATCAAAATCCGCACGATGAAGGGTCGGTTTAATAGTTATGATGTGGTTTGCATGACAGCCGAGCTACAAAAGTAAGTCAATTCAAATCAATTCATTTTACTAGTTCACATCGATTATTATTGTTTATTTATTGTGAATCATATCACCTTTAATGACGATGCATCTTATCTGAATTTCATCACCTTAGGTTAGTGGGTCTTCGTGTGAATCAAATCTATGACATCGATAACAAAACTTATTTGATAAAATTGCAAGATAAGGATGTAAAGCAAACACTATTGTTTGAATCGGGTATTCGATTCCATACGACGTCATTCGAATGGCCAAAAAATCCATCACCGTCCGGATTCACAATGAAATTGCGAAAGCACTTGAAAAACAAGCGTCTTGAGAGTTTAACACAGCTGGGCACCGATCGTATCATTGACTTTCAGTTTGGTGTTGGTGATGCTACCTATCATTTGATTTTGGAGCTGTACGACAGAGGTAATTTGGTGTTATGCGATCATGAGATGACAATTTTGAATGTTTTGCGGCCACATACCGAGGGCGAAGAAGTTCGGTTTGTTGTGCGTGAGAAATATCCCGAAGCCAGAGCTCGTGTCAATGCAAATCGATCGAGTGTAGAAATTATCCGCGAGGTTCTCGGCAATGTTAAAGCAGATGATAGTCTTAAACGAATTTTGACACCGATTTTGGGTAAGTTTTGACTTTTTTTGACCGGTTTTGACTATTTTTTCATAGAAATTTTCCACTTCACTTGGAATAATTTTGGATTGTTTATTATTTGACGATTAAATTCTAAAAATATGAATCCTTACAGATTGTGGTCCGACTGTGTTGACCCACGTCCTCATGAAGTATGGCCTAAATGATTACAAGGTTAAAAAGACCGTAACAGATGAAGCCACACCTGAAGAGACTGAAAACGAGAATCAAAAGGGAAAAAACAAAAAAGGAAAGCAACAAAAGAGCAACGACAGTGCATCGGCTCGGTATTTCGATGAAACCAAAGACACCGAGACGTTAGCAAAGGCAATTGATGAGGCCAATGATTTTATGAAAAATGCTGGCCGAAAAGACAACGAACCGCATGGGTTCATCATTCAAAAAACCGAAATGAAACCACCAAGTACCGAAGGAGCTGAACCCGAAGAGTTTCATTACAACGTTGAGTATCATCCATATTTGTTTGAACAATATCGTGATTCGAAGTACAGAGAGTTCGAAAAATTTGATACGTCGGTCGATGAATTCTATTCGACGTTGATCGGACAGAAAATTGACCTCAAAACGTATCAACAAGAATGCGAGGCACTGAAAAAATTATCAAACGTTAAAAAAGATCATGAAAAACGTTTGGAGGAATTGAGCAAGGCGCAAATTTTGAATAAGCAACGAGCTGAATTGATTACCCGGAATACGGAGTTAATCAATAGTGTGCTGGTGACAATGCGCAGTGCGATTGCCAATCAAATGTCATGGGCCGACATAAAGGATTTTGTAAAAAATGCGCAGACAGCTGGTGATGTGGTGGCAAACAGCATTAAACAGTTGAAACTAGAAACAAATCATGTGTCTCTGTATCTGGCCGATCCGTATGCAACGTTGGATCAAAATAGCGATGAATCGGATTCAGAAAGTGAGGAATCGGATTCAAATGTATTGCCTCCAATGATTGTTGATATTGATTTGGGTTTGTCAGCGTATGCAAATGCCACTCGTTACTATGACCAAAAGCGAAGTGCTGCTCACAAGGAAAATCGTACGATTGAGTCGTCAGCAAAAGCCTTGAAAAATGCTGAGCGAAAAACACAGGAGCATTTGAAGGAAGTCCGAACGATTTCGAATATCTCAAAGGCACGTAAGGTCTTTTGGTTTGAGAAATTCTATTGGTTTATCAGCTCCGAGAATTATCTGGTGATTGGCGGTCGTGATCAACAGCAAAATGAATTGATTGTTAAGAGATACTTGCGACCGAATGATATTTATGTGCATGCAGACATTCAGGGTGCGTCGAGTATTGTCATTCGTAACCCGTTCACTGGCAATCCATCAGATCCACAAGCAGCAATACCGCCAAAGACATTGCTGGAAGCTGGCGCTATGGCCATTTCGTATTCAGTTGCCTGGGATGCCAAAGTGACAACGAGCGCGTACTGGGTTCGTGCCGAACAGGTCAGCAAAACGGCACCGACGGGAGAGTATTTGGATACAGGTAAATTGAAGAATGAAGATTTAGAGAGAAAGAGCTCTTTTTCAAAGAGTCTCTAGGGATAAAGAAATGGACTTAAATTCTCTTCATTTCAATGAAATTCTAATCAATTTTCTAAATTCACAGGAAGTTTCATGATCAGAGGAAAAAAGAACTTTTTACCGCCGTGCCATTTGATATTGGGTCTGAGCATAATGTTCAAATTGGAAGAGTCATCAGTTGCACGACACGCAGGTGAACGATGTGTCCGCACATTCGATAACGATGCACAGAAAAAGTATGAACTTGATACGGAGAGTGTTCAAAGTGAGGCCGCCTCACAAGACGTCAAATCAGACGAAGAAATAAAAGGGGACAACGACGAAAGTGATGGTTCTGATAGCGATGATGGGCCAAATCATTTCCCTGATACGCAAATCAAAATCGGCACATTGAGCACACAAGTCAGTCAAGTGAGCATTGAAACATCCAAAGCCGCCGGCGCTGATGATGAAGAAGAAGAAGGTCAAATCATTCATGCAGCACCACAGCAAATGCCACGTAAAAATCGCATTATACAGAAAACAAAAGCCAAACAAAGCGACGCAAAGAAGAACAAACAACAGCAAAAACAGGAGAAAAATGAAAGTCGCACGGAAAATCAAAACGAGAAATCGAAATCGGGCAGTGCATTGAAAAGGGGCCAAAAGAGTAAATTGAAGAAAATCAAGGAAAAGTACAAGGATCAAGACGAGGAAGAGAAAGAGATGCGAATGCAAATTTTGAAATCAGCCGGTAACAAAAAAGCAGAGCCACCGAAGGAAAAAGAGATCGAAAAAACGGACATGGAGAAACCACAACGTACTCCATCCGGAAAACCTCAAGGTGAAAAGAGACAGCAGCCAGAGAAGAAAGTCGCCGAACCATCAGACGATGTGGATGTGGCCGATGAAGATGAAAACCAAGGCGATGGCAACGACATCGATATGCTGAACTCCTTAACCGGCTGCCCTGTTGAAGAAGATGAAATACTTTTCGCTCTACCGGTTGTCGCACCCTACAATGCATTACACAATTATAAGTAAGACTTCTTTCGTACAGTTTTTTTTCTTCTTTTTAACGAACAGAAAAATAAAAACTTCATTTAATCCTAGGTATAAAGTAAAAATAACACCTGGAACCGGTCGACGTGGTAAAACATCGAAGACAGCGTTGGCAATGTTCTTAAAAGAGAAATCGTGTTTGAATCAAGAAAAAGACCTTATTAAATCTATCAAACCCGATGTAGCCGCCCGAAATATGCCTGGAAAGGTTAAATTGTCAGCTCCACAATTGCAACGCTTAAGAAATTAAATCTCTCCTATAAATACTTTGTGATCTTTTCCATTTATTTTGTTATCAATGCAAAAAAAAAATATACAGTTATTTGATCAGTTGAAAATTTTGAGTAAAGTATGAAATAAATTGTTTGATTCTATTCAATTCCACTTAAAGAAATATGGTCATTTTGCTCTTAACTGCATGGATTTCTTGAAATGTGCGATGTTAGAATTGAGTTGCAAATTTCAGTTTTTCGAAAAACAATAAGATTGATTTGTTTCCATCTGGAAATCTAAAGGATGGAGCTCTAACACGTAAAGTTAGTCATCGATGAAAAAAAAATGATTTGTATGGTTACATATGATGGAAATTAACGAAACTTGTGAATGTGACTGCTTATCAAAACTTAAACGGTACTACTGGTTCGTTGCTTTTAATTCTCATTCCAAATGACTGCTTATAAAAGATGGTTTTACATGGTATAAGGAGTATCCTGAATTGCTAATTTGTTATAGTCCATAGAAAGGGAAAAGAGATTGGACAATGTTATAAGTATTACACTCACGTACTAGTATTCATTGTAAAGAATTCAATGATAATTAAAGTGCAAATAGTCGATTCTAAATGTAATCTTAAACATTTATCAAAAATTTAATTCGAATCTGACCTATACAATTTTAAATACTGATCTTCGATACGATTGCATTCAATGTGGATGAAATAGCTTTGGAACATGCAGCTTTTTTGTTGCTATTCAAATGAGTTCTTGATATCATATGTACATGATAGAAGTTTTTATTTTTTATTCGACACACGTATTGGAAATTAATTACAAATATTTTTTACACAATTATTGGTCCCAATATACAGGGATTTATCTCCATAAAGAATCAGATACAACCCTAAATATTGAAAAACACTTTTACGTTTTATTGACTTCACTCTTAAGAGATTAGACGTATTTAAATACGTTATAATTTTGATTATGAATTGCTTCCTTTCAATTCAATTCAATTCAACGCCCAAAGATATGTTGGTTCTTGGTTCGATGTAAAAATTTACATTTTTCTCTTAAATTTATAGCTATTTTTCAAATCGATTTGAACTCGTTCACTTTCATTTTCACAGAGATTTTAAACACGTAAAATCCAAACTTATTTCCGATAAACTTAAAAATCAACTTAAATAACTTAATCATTGAAAATCTCGTCGTAGAAACGGTCGACATACTGGTGGCCCTCGAAAACCATCTACAACATCTTGATCTTCTCCGTCACTCGGGTCATCAATGTACGGACCGTTGATTAGATTTAAATACTCTTCATTTGAAGATGACGTTAGAATATCTTCGAGATTAAATACTATTTCCGTGAAGGTTGGTCGTGCTTTTGGATCCCAATTCCAACATTGTCGCATCAGTGCATATCTGAAAGTAAAAAAAATGAATGAAAATGTGACAAACGGAATTGAAAATAAAGTAATTTTGATTGATCTTCATTCATTTTCTCTATTTAAATGTAGTTCATTCCATATTTTGCACTTACATATTAATCGGACAGCGTGGTGGTTTCTCCATACGATGTCCACTTTTTAAATACTCGTATAAGTCCTCGGATGGGTACAAAATATTTGAATAAGGTTGATCACCAAATGTCATAATTTCCCACAGTAAAATACCGTACGACCAACTATCGAAACAAAGAAATGGTAAATATTCAATATCGGAAGATAGACAGTTAATAAGCAAATGGAACGAAAAGTCATTTAAATCTTTTCGAGTTCAAAATACTTACACATCGCTTTGACTGTCGTAAAATCGGTCTCTCAATGATTCTGGTGCCATCCATTTGATTGGCAGCCGTCCATTGGTGCATTTTCTATAGTAGTCGGACTCTTGGACATCTCTTGCCAAACCAAAATCGGCAATCTTTACTATGTAATTATCGCAAACGAGCACATTTCTCGCCGCCAAATCACGATGAATATACTGCAATTTAAAGCAAATTAAATGTAAAACCACTTCAAAATGATTCGTCAAATTATGTCGTACCCGTCTCGAAGCTAAATATTCCATGCCACGAGCCACTTGATAAGCGAATGATGTGAGCTCTTTCTGCGTCAGTACATGCTGTGTGTTGAGTGAATTGTAATCGGCCATTGCGAGATTTTTCTTGAGAAAATCTTTCAAATTGCCATACGGTGCATACTCAACAATCACATACAATGGACCGTCTTGACTGCAACAGCCCAACAAATTAATGATATTTATATGCTTTCCAATCATTTTCATGACTTCCATTTCCCGAACTAGGCCCGTTATATCGGCATCAGTGTGCCCTTCTTTGACCATCTTCACAGCGACAATTTGACTCTGTTGCGGTTTTTCCAATCCGTATGCCTCAGCCATGACAACACGACCAAAAGCACCTTCGCCAAGCGTTGGCCCAAACTTCAAATGATTTCGTGGGAACTCCCAATTCGAATCCAACGGAAATTCGTACTCATTCAAAACGGATGGATCATTAGAGTATTGTGATTGATGTACGGTCGTTCGTTGCTTTTCAATTCGTACAATTGGAATTTGTAGGCCATCCGATCCGTCGACTTCATCCAAACTGGGCTTTACAATAATCACTTTTTTTGTCCATTGATGTACCGTTTCCATTGCACGATGTTTCTCCAATTTTTCACGTTTGAGCTTCTTAAATCCAATCAACATAATAAATATTGCCAGTAGAAACAGTGCTCCCATTGATATGATGATGATGTAGCTTAGCAGCGTACTGAATTTGTGCTCCGATTTCAATGGTTTTTCATCAAAATCTGTGAGAAGAGAATATTTTTGTCAACAATTTTGTTTATACAAGTCAAAAAATTAGAGGGAATTTAATGACATTTTTTTTTTGACAAATTGAAATAAACCAGAAGAAGTGTGAAATTAAATGAAAGAATAAAAAAAATAGAAATAGAAATCGCAAATAAATAAAATGATATATGAAACTAACCATCAACAACGTGTAAGTATGCACTGCCAGCAGTTGTGCCCAAACTGTTGGCTGCAATGCAAGTGTACCATCCTTCATCTGCATGCGTGATGTTGTGAAGAGTCAGCTCCTCCGTCTTCTCTTCATCTTCAACCTAATGAAAGTACAACAATGAGTTTATCACACAAGTGAAAACACAGTGAAACTGTTTCCTTTACGGAAAGCCATGGTTGGTTAGTAGAATGCTTCTCAATGATACCATGCAATTATTCGAACGCAAGTCGCGCTCGTAACAAGAAATTTCAGTGTTATTAGTTTAATTCATAAATCTGTTTTCTACATTCGCATCTTTTTAGCTCAAATTGACCTAGTAGATGTAATACTTTTTTCTTGTGTTTTCATTGTTCTAATTTTTTTTGGAGTTTAATTTTATCGTTAACAGTTGAAATAGTGAAATAGTTATATGTATTCAGTCTAACCATGACCATATTATTTCGATTAGTAAACAGTGTTTATTGAACACACAAATAACAGACTGAACTTATGGAGTATATTCATTTTGTAGTTGAGTGCTAGTCAAAATCCAAATATCACCAAAAATTGAAGAAAAATAGCTATGTTACTAATTAAGTGAAATTGTTAATTTGTTCTACACTTATGACGAATAAATGACTTAATCAAAAAATGTTAGATGTGGTTAAAAGGAAAAAAAGATTAGTTAATGAGACGATAGAGATAAACCATCACCTCGAGTAAAGTTGCATTATTTGTGCAATTCTGGCACAGAGAATAAACCCACTGAGTACGTTTGAATAAATCGGACACGAATTTACATCTAAATGTGTGCGACGAATCAACTAAAACGGTGGTGTTTTGTGGTGGTTCCGATAAGATGGGCTTATGATTGACACGCTCTGGAAAATAAACAAATATTCAAGTTTTTCTACCATTGAACATCCTGCCCTTTCTTTTAATATACTGAAGAAAAAAAAATGGTTAGCAACAATTTAACTTCCAACCCATCATATCTTAATAAGATTTTTCAACCAAATCAATATTTTCTAGAAGAAATGTTGACATCAATTATTTTATTTTAGAAAAAAAAAGAACCCAGCAACCAAAATAAGAATAAAACCATCACCGAACGCGGCAATAAAAAAATCAAAGGATGAGAACTGCCACCGATAAGAAAACGAATTGCTTTTGTACCTCAAGACGAACTGTATTTGGATTTGAGGCCCAGTTGCCATCGGAATCGTTAAACGCATGATACTTCGCCCAAGTAATATGAGAGGCAATATCTCCGATAACAAGACAACTGAACGTTACACTTCCGTTAACGATTACCGTTTGATTGGCTGGAGAACCGTCTACAATGTACGGCTTTGCTGGAAAACGATCTGCACGCGATTTGATTCACACATTCAATTTTGAAATGGAAATATATAGAAATTAAACGTTTCGTGTGGTCATTCGCGAATATCGTATAGCATATGCTATATACCCAGGCTTAATGGGAAAGAACAAATTTGGTTTTATCTACCTATAACTTCGACGTGAGTACTGTGTTCAATGCATCCATGTATATTACAGACTTTGCATGTATAATGTCCCGTATCTTTTGGCGTCAAATCTTCCAAAATGATGGCCCATTTTCGAAATTGAACCTTGCCATTGGTTCTCATGAGCTGATTTGAATCCTTGGTCCATGTAATGTTTGGAGCGGGTATTCCTATGGGAATTTCAAAAAGGTATTGAGTCAAGTTGTGTTATTCCAATTGTCAATTGTTGCTTTGTTGCAATTCTTTTGACATTTTCAAACTATTTGCTCACCTGCGGCCGCACACCGAATTTTCACCATATTTCCAGATGGTTTTGGAATGAATTTGCTCAAAATTTCTGGATGTGTAAAGTATGGCAGCGCATTTAAATCGCTTTCTGATTCATCGAATGTCTGAATGGAATCCTTATCGTCTTGATTTTCATTGGGTATTTGATCGTCCTGCAAAGTTTTATGGAAGTATTTCGTTTTCATTTTGCTTTTGTTTGCTAAATATTTCAGATATAAACCAAGCACACTCACGATATCAGAGTCAGTTGTGTCAATAGTTGAAATATTCCCCTCAAATATTTTCATATCATAGTTTTGTTCCTGCGAATCAATTCGATCGCTGGATGATTCGATGTTATGGGTATTTTTCGAAACAACTGCCAGTCGTGGATTTGAAGCTTTAAATTTACATAAAATACCGAAAACAGAGATAGAGTTAGACTAGCTCAGTTAGTTCAATCATAATTCATGACGAAATGATTTTCGTGTTATTCAACACATATTTGGGGTCGATGCCACCTACCTGTTGATGAATTTGGTGATTCTTTCGCTGCTGTTGGTTGCATGGCAACCGAACGGACTCGATTCTGGCGCAGCTTTTCAGGACATGGTAGCGTTTCTCCTGAAGTTTACAAAAAATGTCATGAATAGCCGAATTTTGCCAAATTGATCGCAAATGAATCAATATTTTGAACTTTAAATGGACAATTAAACTAACCATCAACAACGTGTAAATATGCACTGTTAGCCGTTGTACCCAAACTGTTGGCCACAATACATGTGTACCATCCTTCGTCTGCGTGTGTGATATTGTGAAGAGTCAGCTGTCCCTGTCTCTCTTCATCGTCAGCCTAATGAAAGTACAACAATGAGTCTATCATTCGGACACTAACACAGTAGATCTGCTTTCTCTATGGAAAGCTATGACCAATTACTTCTCAACGATACCATGCAATTAATTCAAACGCAAGTTGCGTTCATAACAAAAATTCATTTTTATTCGCTCAAGTCATAAATCAATTAATTCGCTCACTCGCTCGTTTCTTAGAATTATACATTTCAACATCCTCATGCCGTAAAGTGGTTAAGTGATTATTGTTGTTAATTTCGCAATTACGTCAAATGATTTAATCAAAAACAGTGTTAGATCCGAGTATGTGTTAGTGTTTCTTTATCGAAAAGAAGGGAAAATTGGTTAAATTCGGAATACGATAGAAACAAACCATCACCTTGAGTAAAGTTGCATTATTTATGCAATTCTGACACACAGCATAAATCCACTGAACATGTTCGAATAATTCGGACACGAATTTACATCTAAATATGTACGTAGAACCAACTAAGACTGTGTTATTCTGTGGTGGTTCCGGTAAGGTTGGCTTGTGATAGATACGGTCTAGAAAATAGAAAATATTCAAGTTGATTCTATCATACAATGTTCTCCTCTTTCTACTGATAAATATTTGTTCGCAACATTGCAAGTTCTAACCCATTTTTTATAACCAAAATGATGTTATAAAAGGAATTTCAACATCAAACATTGATCATTATTTTGAAAAAAGGACCCAGCAACCCAGATAAAAAAACCATCACCAAATCCAACAGTGAAAAAAAAATGAAAACCGGCAATCGATAAGAAAACGAAATGCTTTTGTACCTCGAAACGAATTGTATTTGGTTTGGAGGTCCAGTTGGTATCGGAATCGTTATACGCATGATACTTCGCCCACGTAATGTGAGCGGCAATATCGCCGATAACAAGACAACTGAACGTTACACTTCCGTTAACGCATGCCGTTTGATTGGCTGGATGGCCGTCTACAATGTATGGCTTTGCTGGAAAACGATCTTTACGCGATTTGGTTTACACATTCAATTTTGAAATGGAAATGTATATAAATTAAACGTTTCGTATGAGTAATAATGAATGGGTTGGTTGGTTTCTTTTAGGCTAAAATCGATATGGCAAATTCGGTTTTATCTACCTATAACTTCGATGCGTGTACTGTACTCGATGCATCCATGTATGTTACAGACTTTGCATGTATAATTCCCTGTATCTTTTGGCGTCAAATCTTCCAAAATGATGACCCATTTTCGAAACTGGACCCTGCCATTGGTTCTCGTGAGCTGATTTGAATCTTTCGTCCAAGTTATGTTTGGAGCGGGTGTTCCTGTGGGAATTCAAAAAAAAAACATTCAATTTTGTTATTATTTCAATTGTTAATTGCTAATTAGCAATAAATTATAATATCTTGTTTAATTTTCGAACTATTTACTCACCTGCGGCTCTACAAGGAATTTTGGCCATATCTCCAGATAGTTTTGGAATGAATTTGCTCATACCTTCCGGACTTGTAAAGTATGGTGGATTTAAACCACTTTTTGATTCGTTGAGTGATGGAATGGAATCCTTATTTTCTTTATTTTCATTAGATAATCGGTCGACCTAAAATTAGTATGGATGCAATGAGCTTCTATTCTAAAGACAAATATTTCAGGTGAGAATTAATTTTACCATATTCGAGTGAGGCGTTTCTATCTGATTCCCATCATTTTCATTCCGAAGTTGTGATAAACCAAAGCCTTTTGTATCGTCATTGGTACCTTTGCCATGAGAGTCTTGAAAATTAATTTGAAAAGAAAACGGAGAAAGAAATAATGAAGAAAAATGGAATAAAATTAATAAACAAAATATGACCATTCATTGAGGACACACCAACAAGAATATAAATTAAATCGATATATCTGTGTACAGCATAAAAGAATGAAAGGAAGAAAGACAGAAAAATGCAAACCCAGAATGAATGCCGTACCTGTTGATGAACTTATGAATTCCATTGATGTTGTTGGCATCATTGGTGTGGCCGTTCGGTGTGTATGAATGCGGTCGAGCTTTGCACATGATAATAAATTAAAAATCGACGATAAAACAATGACAATGGCCACATTCATATTTGCCGTTTCAAAGTAAATTTTAATCGGTTTGAATGGCGGTGTATTTTGTGTACGTGGAATTGTATTCGCGCTTTAATTTGAATATTTTGCCCAATCAATTGTCGTGTTATTTATTCAAGACATCATTCAGTGGGGCCGCATTACGCAAATCATATTACAGAAAAAAAAGAAGAATTGCGATCGCTGAAGAATTTTAAATTACGTCCGAGCTGAGGTGAGGGCAGACAAGAAGCTGAATTCTGTAGAAATACAATTCATATCAAGATTATTCGTTCATGGTTTTGTGTGTGTGGAAGCGCAAGCTCGCTTGCTCGCGGGCAAACACAACCATTGATATATCGTACGCCTATAAAGTACCTTACCTTTGTTTGTTTTTCCTTTAATTAATTATTGCGATTCATTTACGCGCGCCGATCGGCTTCTTTCTCTTCCGTAACGTTAATATGAAATCTAGGCAAAGCAAAGCAAAAAATGAAAAAAAAACGGTAAAATCAAAGGCATGAGGAAAACATTTCTACTATTTTGTTCGTGTTGCTTGTCAATGAGATTTCGTTCATTCTTTGGCGTTGTTTGTGAATGCGAAATGAATCGTTCTTTCGTTAGAACAGTAAATAATCGAATCAAGTGGTTTTACAGCTGCCATATAAACATCAAAGCGAAGAAGAAAGCGGGCAAAAACGCGACTGCGAAAGAGATATTGGCAATTTATTTTTAGACATTCCGCCATTTTCGTCTGATAATTGCGCGTCTCATTGATGCCTGTGAATGGCACACTCTGTGTATGTATATCAATCTCATCAGGCAGACCAAATTATGCCTCAAAATTGAACGCCAGTTACGGCTCTTTGATAAACTACGGTCTTTTGATAATAATTCCGTTCCACACACACACACAGAAAATGCCATCTCTTGTACCGGTTCATTTACCAAAAGAGTTAGAGCCATAATCGTGGATCGTTTGATTCCTGTGACGTTTCTGACATTTTCCCACTTTGATCGTAATTGAAATAGGAATGTAGATATACAGGAAATTACGTTTTGTCGTTTCCAACATGTTCCAACGATGAAAAGTGCACGAAGCAAATGTGGTAAACGGAAAGAATCAAATGGAAAACAATAGTCAAACGAATCGCATACAATCCATATCCAATCGGATATTATAGTTAATGTTGATAAATTTTTTGGTGATGCATTTTGAATATCTAATTCATCGATGGCACCACCAACACCGGCGTGTGAATGAAATGGGATGTGAATTCTCAGCTCGATAGATTTTCTGCAACAAAAAAAATCGCCCGACAAAAATCACATTTGACTCTTACAAATAAAAATAGTCGATTAAACATTTGAACAAAATTTGATACAGCTGAACATGTGCAACAACTGGCTCGGTTCCTCTCTCTTTTTTTCGATTCATTTGCCTTGACTGGTGTTGTTCTTTTTTTTCTCTTGAATTCTGATATTCGTTGTTATTTTTTTTTCTGTCAACTTTGGAACTTGTGTCGCATATCGAATCACTTGAGCATAAATATCCTCACTCTCACAAGTCCGGGGATAGTACCAGAGACGAATATCGAGATTTATGATGATGAACACTGTTGAATGCACGAGTAAGCATACGCTTCAGAGAACCGAAGTCAGTGCCGTTTAAGGAGATACTGCATCAGTTGTGTGCTGAGCTGAATTTAAAAATTGTTTTTAACGAAGTGAATGAAGCCAGCGACAGTAGACGCAAGTGGCAGAGAGAGAGAGAGAGAGCCAAGGAGCTCCCAAATCGCATTTCACACCGGAAGCGGTGTTTTGATGCACTCACGGAGAACGACAAAAGAAAAACAAAACCGAATTACGTGAAGAAAATATTTGTTGTGTGTGTGCGCGGGAGTGCAGCACTGATGGCGATGTCATTTCGTTTCGAAAAAGAAAAAAAATCGAAATGAAAACCATGTCCCGAATATGTGAAAAATTGAAAGTATTTCGTGTGATTTTTTTTTGTTCGAAAAGTGCATAAAATCCATTGGACTCACTGGTATTTATAGTCATTTATTTAAATATGCATTTTAGAAAAAGATTTTGTTTTTTTCGTCGGTTTTTTTGAATTCTCAGACGACGATTTGTTGCGTTGGCACACCAAATGGATCGTTTATCTTGTCAAAAGTTCTTCCCCAGTGGATACACTAGCTCGATTTTTTTTCTCTGTTTCATTCTAAAACAAAAGCTTACAAACGCACAAAAGGTCAGTGTGTAGGTCTGAATTACACCCGTGAGATGAGCCTAATTTCCATTATAAATACATTAAATAATGATAGGAATTTTCGAAAAATACAAAAAAAGAACAAAAAGGAGAAGACAGGGGAAAAATTGCGCTGGCCACCGAAACGATTTCATCAAAATTGATGATGTGATGAGTAACGGCACTTTGCAACAATAAATTCTTTCAATTCTTCTGTGATCTGACTTTCACAGCAACGAGGGACGTAGATACAATTCATCTGGTGCCATTCATTTCAGTGTTGTTGTTATTTCGCTCCGTTTTTTCTCGCTCATTCTTCACTCTTACGGATTTGTTTAAAACATATTTTCTTTGCTCGATTGAATGGCTTTTTTTTCGCTTTCGCTTGGGGTTTTTTCGAATCATATACATATATTACATGTTGTTCGTATATTTTCTTCAATCGAATGCGTCGTTCAAACATCTGGTCGTTTGGCGCGGCTCGTCGTCGTCCTACATTGTAATGTCTATTATGTTATATACATGTGAAACATTTAACTGCTTTCCATAAACAAAACGCAACCCATGAAAATCATGCAGAAATAGGCATGTGTGCACGGAACGACTGCTAGATGTGTGCACATTTGAGTAAGACAAATCAGAGAGTGAGAGAGAAAAACAATATGATGCTGCGTCGGTTCCTTGAATTTCAGCTCAATGGTTATGCTTAGCAGCATTTTGCCTGGTTGGTGTGTTTTTTCTGCTCTTCCATTTTCCAAACAACAATTTTCAACATTATGTGGATTTCGCATGGTTTGGATCACGCAGTTTATCCTACTGGGAACTTCCTTTTGGATTTTGGCTTAGCCAAACGATTATTATTGTCTTAGATATTTATACGTTGCATTTTCTTTCGCTCGTATTCTCCTCTTTCCAGCGTATTTATTCAGTTGGATGAATAGACACAAGTGCCGATTTATTTATACACTGCCTTGTAATCACAAATGGACCTCGGCAACATGAAAATTTGCTAAAGCAGAAAAAAATCCGATTGAATTTTTGTTTGAATGAACATTTGCTATTTTTCCACGCGGCAGCAGCGGCGGGTAATTTCCTGAAGCACTTGCTATTCGCCATTCCTTTGTTTTCAACTGGATATTGATTGTTTCATTTCAACCTACGCCATTCGATTATTTGAGCCATTCAATAACTTTGATGGGTACTGAAACATATCTATGAACCAACTATTTCGAATATTTGAAAATAATTTCTTTCAAAAAAAAAAAGAATTTTTTTGGCGAATTAAGTAGAAGCCGTGTGTGAAGTGTATATTATGATGCGCACATAGACATGTTGATTTTAGCCATTTTACGCTTTTCTTTCTTTTCTTCTTCTTTTTTGTTTGTTTGATGTGCGATATGCGATGCCAATTTAAATTTAGAATTGTTTTACTGTACAAAAACAGCGATACACACATACACTCATACAGCTGCCTTTTCCGTTTGGTAACGTTTCCGAACGAAAGCAAAACACAGCAAAGTGATTGAACTTATTTGCGTTCTGCTCGAAATATGAAATTCTTTTGTATTGAAATGAGAAAAAAAAAACAAATGAAATAAACAGCTTGGCAGAGCATTATAAAACAGCCATGAAATCGATTCTATTTTATTCATCATTTGAGTTACATAGTAACTAAAGTGCCACAAATTTGTTGACCAGTTAAGCTAAGCGTCTAGGAAGTCGCTGAAAATAATTTGAAGAATGAAAAAAAACAAGAATGAAAACGAATGTTTGCGCGTACGGTCAGCAGATCTTGTCTTTATTGTATTTCGGACTCATCGGACATAGGAGAAAAAAACACCAGCCTTCTTACACGTATAAAATCATCTCAAATCGTGAATGACACAAAATAATACTTGAACACAAAACTACCGTATATTTACTCACCAGTCTCTCACTCTGTGTCTGTTTAAATCAATTGTCTTCAATGTAGTTAAATGCTTATCGTCTTCCTTTTTTCCCTCTCTGCAGCCATTCAAATAGAAGATCCAATTGTGGGATTTTGATTAACTTATTCGAATCGCACTGCACATATAAAGAGCAGACTGTTTAGCTTCACTTTCCTTCTCTGTCACTCGCACTGTCTCTGTCCTGTTCACAATTTTATTTCGTTATTTAGCTCGTGTTTGAATGTAAATGCAGCATTACTTGAGCCAGTACAGAGACACTTTGTCGTATTGGAAAACACATAGTGTAAAATCTCGGCAATACGCAACTATATGTGGACACACAGTCATTTCACAGATTCACATTAAATTACATGATTTGTTTCACTTTGTGACCGTCAATCCCAAACCATATACACACCAAATCAATACGCAGCACTGTCTTCTCGATATGAACTATTGAAGTGAATTTTTTTCTTTCGTAATAATCATTCGTTGGTCAAACTGAGGCTTTGATTTTGGCTCGGCTCGGCTTGGCTTTGCTGTTGGCTTTGGCTTGACTCAACACTCAATCATAGACTCAACAAAGTCCACCAGAACTTTTCAACATAGTCTGTAATGAATTTAATTTTAACCGAACAAATCACTTAAAATAGCCCAGACTCTTGAGCAAACATTGATTGAGCTGTTCCAAATTTGGGGGATTATTTATGATTAGTTGTCACACACACATTCAACTGCATCAACTGAACCAGAAGAAAAATCCATAAAATGCAATGATATATATCCATAAATTGACGAGAGCGTATTTTTGGTAGCGCTCCAATTCACTTGTTTTCTATTTCACTAAATAAACACACAACGCACTAGAACCGCATTAGAACATGTATACTACATAAAAACGTTTCAAAACAATTTATTTGTGTTATTAATTCTGGGTGCCTTTTTTCCATTAACCTTTCAAGTTGCATTTAAATGCGTCTGTTTTTGTATGTGCTGTCGACGTCTTCGTCGTTGTCATTCGTTCGTTTTGGCTTGGATTTAATCGATTTCAGTGCATTTAATGGATTTGCTCTGATTTGTGTTCTGATGAAGTCATTTTTTTTTTTGGACAAAAAATCCAAGAAGCAGCTTTGTTGCACAATTTTCAACGGCTGTAAATCAGTTTTATTATGTTTTTTTGTTTTTTTCACTTGATTTTCGTCAGCAAAAATCACCAAACAAAAACTTTCATTTTTCTCGTTGTCACTTTTAATCGTTCTTTTTTGCTTTTAATTCTTTTGTCGTGATTTTGTCCAAATAAAAAATTCGAAAAAAACCGAATAAAAATCGTTATGTCACTTTTCAAATTGAAAAAAAAAAAACAGTGTTCGCGGGCGCAAGTGAATTTTCCGAATCGAATCTGCGCTCACTACTTTCGTGCGATTTAGAAGGAGAGAGAGACTCGTCTTAACTAACATGCACTCCGATAAATACTAACATAAGTTTATGTGTTGCTACTGCCAGTGACTTGCCGTCCATATCAATGAAATACGAATGTTTTCTTCAAAAAAAAGAGACATACACATTTTGGAGACAGAACATACACATAAACACACACACACACAAAGACATATAATCCAATAATGCGCATGTCAAGCATACAGAATTTTGTGTATAGTCGTCGACGTCGTCGTCGTCGTCAGCTCGAAGCGTAAATGCGCTCTCGACTGAATTTACACACAACGCTCTGTGGATCGTACATATGCGCAACTATAGAGGCTAAGAACAGCGAGCAGCCGAAAGAAAGAAAAGAATGAAAACACATTAAAGGAGATGCCCAAACAGCTTATACAAATATAGAACTCAAGCAATTGCGTATGAAAACAGAGAATAAAACAGAACAAAACAAGCGATTGAAATAAGCCATGCACTTGGTTGCTCGTGCATATTGTATGTAATATTCGTTCATGAGCCGTTCCGTTTGGAATTATTTTAAACCGAACCCATTTTAAATTATTGGTTTTTAGAATCATTCTGATTACTATGGTCAACAAAATACAATTGCGCTTGTTCTAGTTCATCTCCGTTTAATAGATACAGTTACATATTAAATATTCACAGTGTTTGAATTGAAGAAGAAACGAAGTTCTGTGTGAAAAAAAATTTGAGTTTTGGCGGAGAATTTGTGCAACGATCGACGAAGCTATGCTTGAAAAGAGAGTATATTGTCATTATCATCGAAGCATTGCAAAAGAACAAGCCGCATGAATGTGTGTGCACACAAAGCCATCTTAATGCGTTACAAATGACTGATTATGACTTTCTGGTGAATGCATGAGCCGTGGTACGAGGGGAGAACAGCGTACACATATTCAAATATAGAAGTACGAAAATTATGAAGAATCTCAGAACACGGTGCATGAACATCTTCAATGACAACGACATGCAATAACTTACGCCCCAAGAACTGTCTGTCTGCTCGCGCATACACATAATGGGCGACTAGTTTATGATTTAGTCGCGTAAATAAACATTCGTATTACTAATCATTGACTTGTTGATATTGGTTTTGTTTGAAAAAACGATGAAACTAGCATTGGTCGCGATGGAGCGCCCGCTTGCTCTAAGGCATTTTTTTTTGTATGTGCCAGTCATGTGTTGCACATTGTGAGTTCTATCTTCACTTTGTTTCGATTTGGGATTGTGTTGATGGGCTGAGATGCTTGTGCATTAGCTTCGTTGTTATTTTGACAACCAAGTTATTATATTTGATCAGGTATTGTTCTGCATTTGGTTCGCCGTTGTACACTGCAATATGCGAGAGCTGCAATGCACATGGTTTGATATTTGTTGAGTGCGCCTGCTGTTTCTCCATCGACAATGTAAATTAACATGTTGTTTATGGCAAATGAAATGACTGCTGAAACGGTTCAGCCATGAACTCTCTTTCTCTCTCACTCTCACTCCCACTCTCTTCTCTCACTCTTTCTCGCTCTGTGTACATTATCTGAACTGTTGGAAATCATCTTGAGACTCCTTTTTTCCCGATATCCGCACATTGACATACGACGACTCAAGTGTCTGTGCATAAGTTGTAAGCGACTCCTTTTTTCATTTTGAAATATTCCATTTGTTCGGTACATTGTTTCGGTCATTTTTGGTCCTCATGTGTTTTTATTTTTACGAACATTAATCGGATACATGTCTCCGAAACTAAATATATTGTTAAAAAAAATTGGTTGGACAAAAAAAAAATTAGTTAAAAAAGCGTTGAAATGGCAAAAAAAACGTCAGCAAGAAAAGGGAACGCCGAAAAAAACAGACACATAAAATTCGAAATTGGTTTCAGTCTGAAGATATATTTTAAGAAAATTTATGGAAGGATTTCTTTCTTTCTAGCTCGTTCGTTCGCCGTTGAGCCAAACTGTTCGGACGGATGGTGCACATGTGTTGCTGCTCTGTTGCTTGTTTCTCTCAACTAATGATGTTATTTTAGCAACAAGAACTTGGATTATTATAAGCCAGTTTATTAATAATTACGAACCGAACAGAGAAAGTCGGGGACAAAAATGAAGAGAGGAAGAATATGTCGAAAGTCAAACGATATCGATCTCGAATTATGCGCTTGTACATGACCTTAAAACTTCGAGTGTAGTGGTTTCCGTTTTCGGTTCGACTACATTAAATATGAATGCGTCTGATAAATTGAATGATCACTGAAATGAATTCATTTATTATTAACTACAGTCGAAGAAAAACAGCGAGCGGCTTCTGCTTTCAATCTCATTTGCAACTATGCTGCAACATGGGCAAATATTAATCGAGCTTCAAGACATCATTTATCTTGGTTCAAGATGGAAATAAAAAGAGATGATAGCGTATAACAGTAACCGCAGCCATAAAATATAACAAACATTCTATTCTTGAGCCAAAAACAACAACAAAGTCTTGATGAAAGCAATCGAAACATAACCACAAGCCTATTATATGTGTTTCCAAGCAGTGGATTATCGTGCCATACCAATATCGTGTTGTAAAAACGATAGCAAATCGAATGTTTTACTTTCATCGGAGGCCGGAGAGGGAACATGAAACGCCACTTCCGTTTTATTCTATTTATTCGTTTTACTTGAGGTGTAAAACGATAAAAGCGAAGAAAAAAAAACACTTAATCACTGGAAATGATTTGTTTGACAATCTGTTGAGAAGCGACTGCCTTTTGATTCAAATTTAAAAAAAACATCGCACGCGTTCCGGAACTCGAACAGGAATAAAAGTGAGAAAGTTGTTATTTGTGTTTTGCCCGCTAAGGAGATTGATAAAAACGTGCATCGGAAAAGATCGCTTCTAATTCTGGCCATAAAACACAGTTGCCATTCGAGGCACATGCACTCGCTCGCCGCTTGTGTTCATCAAATGCGATACACATGTTTTCATTCACTTCTAATTATAATATGTGCATGTTCCGATGCACACACACACACACATTCCTGCTAAACGATGCCGCTCGCAGCCATAAATACACACAACAAACAAACGAAAACGAAATGATTTTTTTTTCTCGTTTATCGTTCATCTTTCCTTCCGTTTGCCTTCCGTCTGTTTTTCTACACTTTCTCATCCTCTCTTGTTTCCTTCTTTTTCCCAAAACTATCACAGTCATTTGGTTTGTGTAAACTATAAACTGGAAATATGATCTCGCGATTTTACCTTTTTCCCTACACATCGAACAGAGAGAAAGTTATTGTATTTGTTTACGATGGCGGTTTATTATCTTTAGCTAGTTGAGTGTGACGAACATTTAAGTGGTTGCAGAACGGCTCTTAGATTTTATTAGGTGTTTGATGCACTTTCTTTCATGATTCACGCAGGGTAGCTTACGAAGATTTTTGTCTCTGTGAGATTTGGGATGGCACATAGAAAATGGATTGGTTTCGATTGAATTATGGAAACTAGTGCTGGAATTCAATTCAAATTCACGAATTAAGATTCTTTCAATTCGAATATTGACGAGTAAAAACCACTTACAACACACTTTTTCGCACACAACCGAACTTTTTTACAACACATTTTTTCGTGCTGACCGAAAAGAATAGCGGTTGATGCACCCAATTTGATAATATCGAAATAAATCAATAGACCAAATCCAACACCATTTCATGAATAATGGTTTTCGTGGTTTCATGAGAACATTGTTAAGGCCAGCAACATGGTTAAAACGTTTGATTTTGTAAAACTCATGGCGAAAACTCCAAAAAACGGATAAAATTAACATTTAGGCCGAAGAAAAAGAGGAATATCGGCTTTTGAGTTGATGGTATTTGGTCGAGAGGAATAATGGTCCCGTTCCAAGTGCTCCTTTTTGTTCGATTTGAGAATATGGTCCATGTTTTTAAGCCTTGGATTTCCCTTGGAGAATACGAAGGCGTTAATGCTCTAGTAGAGCATTGCTCTACTCGGATTGACAGCGATAATTTATTGGTGTTTACTTGTTGAATAACATGCTTGTGTGTGTGGTGCCATTACACATCGAATGCGCACCACTTCCGGACTCTTTTCGCATAAATCTTCTACAATTTACACGGATGTGGTGGATGCCTTCAAGATCGTGCCATTTATGTTGGTGTTGAAACATTTTTCGGGTGAATTAATGCATTGTCTCTATCCCGTCAGTCTAACAGTTATTCCGAACAAGTTATTTCTTTCGAATTTTCGTATTAAAACAAACAAAGCCACAAGAAGTTATTTCAAGGTTTTAAAGTGAAACTTTTTTATATATTAAGAGCCATTCTAATACGTATTATTACTATTATTGAACAAAAGCCTCTCATTTTCATTCAACAAAAAAAAAACGAACGGCGCACAATGAACTGTTGATAAACTTATTCATTCGGTTAGTGTTGTTCGCAACGGTGTAGCCAGGCAGATATTCAACTCAATGAATTTTAGCTGCTTCGAAATATTATCGAATAAATAATAATAAATTATACAACAAAAAAAGATATTAACGATATAGCAATGACAATGGAAACATTTGAATTTGTCATTGCAATATAAATGATATATCCTTTGTTTCGAGCTGCCGTTGCTGTGATAAATATATTCTGTTTATTTGTTTTTTTTCTCTCTATTTGTCTTTATTACATTCATACTAAGTGTTTTCGTTATACGCATGCAAAATAGCACAAGAAGTAATTAAACAACCCAAATGCTTCTATTCCCTTGTTTAGTCGCATGAATGTTATCACAGGAGAATATTCGCGTCTGCCAAATACAAAATTTATTCAAGTCACAAATCGCAAATCGCTCCCGCATCATGCAAATAATATTAGAATATAAAAAAGGTTGTTAGATAAATTAAAGGCGATTTGCGACGGGGCTAGCGAAACAAATAGAAATGAATTCATATCAAGACAAGTTGCAGCTACTGGAATTAGGCAATTGATATATAATAGCGATAAATCTTATTCTCCTGGAATCAATTATCTTTTTTTCGGCTAATTTATACACTGAAATACATCTGAACGACTACTTTCGCGTCAGTGGCATTGATTCACAGAAAGCAAACTGTTCTACTAAGTGGCACATTTCAAAATGTAAACAAACTCGTTCTCCATCATGTATTAGAAAATCGTTTTACGTTGATAACAAATTTTTTAGCGCTGCAAAACGTTTTTTTATGGGCAATAAAAATGGAAAATCAAGTAGTTCGAAGGCGTGTTGAAGTAAATCTGAAAGTGCTATTGGGTGAAACTATTTTTAGATGCTGAACCGTTCAGATTTTCACAATCTGGAAATCGCACTTCACAAAAACGTTGGAAAAACGTTGAGTTGGCATTGCTAATGCCAGAAATATTGCCTGCTTAGTTGGAATTTAAAGCATCATTTATCTTGTGAAAAAGAACCGAACGAAAATGATTTCTTTTTTCGGAACAAAACAAAAATTTCTTCCATAAGCATAATAGAATGGATGTGGCATTCATCATCTCGATGTGTTTGGATTTAGAAATTTACCACAAATATTATCTTTCAGCGGTGTAATGTGTCAAGCAATTAGAGAGACACGACACATCTAATTCCGCAAACTAATGAACAGCACACAGAGATGTGTGTGAGTGTGTGTGTTTGGAGGCATTTCCTAAAGGATAGAAATATTACATCCGTTAATCGCCCGACATTATCGTTTTCAAGCGAGGCGTTCATTCAGGGAAACGACTTGATTGTCAAACTAAAGACAGCCTAAATTTATCTCATGTGTTGATATTATTTATAGAACAGTTCGTTCAGGGTGTTAGCCGCCACTATCTACCCAAATAGAATCCCTAATTAAATTACAATGGGAAATATGAATTAAAGGTGAAATTTGGTGGAAATCATCACCGGCATCACTTTCGTCGGAAGGAGTGAATGAAGTGTGAACTACGAAAATCGGAGGATGTCACATCCATATCAAGCCAAGGAACCATTCATGTGCTGCTGCTTCTGCTTATTTACGAAAAATCTGATACACATGTTTCCATTCGTTACTTATTTTTTCGTATCTAATTATAATTTGAGCATGTTTTACATGACGCTTGTGTGCTGTTGCGCACGAAAGAAATATGAGAAACAAAAAAAACAATTCTCCTTCGCTTCTTTATCATTCATCTTTTCTTCCGTTTGCTTTCTGCTAACTTTCTCGCATACTTACGCGTTTTTTTCTCTTCACTTTCGACTTTCGAAATGAATTTCGGATATGGAACGTATGAATCTCATTAACAATTCTGATTAAGTAGAATTGGACCTTTTTCTTTACCTTTTGAATGAAAAAAGCAACAACAACGCATTTATATCCGCTTTCAATTGTAGTTTTATGACCTTTTTTATTCGAATGATACAAACCAAATGTACGCAAGACTGTCTCACTCTCATTGTGAATTGGAGAAAGGTATATGTTTGTGTCACCCGATTTCCTGCTGTGTGTGTGTGTGTGTCTCCGAAAAAAAATCAATGAAGGACCCAAATAATCATATCTTTATTGCAATTTGGTTAGATTTTGGACATTTCTCCATTTTCTTAAATGATTTATTTCCTTTCTCGTCTCATTTTTTTTTGTTGCTTTATTTTTATTTTGTGTAGAAATTGATAACATTTACGACAATAAAACATTCTCTAACTTAGTGGAAAAGTTGGAAAAGAAATATTGTTTTTTTTTTTACTTGGCAACTGTTTAACCCATTTTGGCCCCGCGTTGCGAAAACGCAACGCTTCAGATTTCCCCCATCTGGGGCAATTCAGACACGAAATTTTCGAAGATTTCCAAAAGAGAAAATGTAGTTTATCTCAAAATCTAATCGACCTGTCTTTGCGTTTTGGCTAATTTTAATATCTAGGGTGTCGATTCGAGGCCGCCAGATCCATCTGTTCGAAAATTCGGAAAATCGGCAGAAGAACGTCAAAAAAACCAAGGAAATTTGGATTTCTTTTTTTTTTTAAGTAGAGGAGAGGTTGAAATCAATTTTTCATATTTATGCCAAAACTAGCTTCTGTGCCAATTTTCAGGTCATTCTAGCCAGCAGAAAAATCGCGGGCCAAAATGGCTCAAGGTTTGCTCATGTTTGTCTATTTTTTTAATTGTTCCATTTTTTGTGTATATAGAAAACATACTTTGTATAGTTATTAGGAGCCTATGTCTATCGTAGAGGTACATTTGCTGCTCTGCATATTCTTAATAGATATTTTTACAGGGTGTCGATCGCAAAATCGGCACGGTTTTTAAGCCGGAAACTTATATTCGAATTTGCTAAACATTTATTTACAGATTTGCCAAATATAGATACATACTCCAAAGAGAATCCTTTTGATTCGTCTTCTTTAGTAGAATAATAAACAAACATTTTTCTGTTTAAGATCACAAAGATTTTTTAAGCAAAATTATTTGATTTTGTTGTTTAAATGTAATTTTGATGCTCCAATTTGTCTTGAATGAAATGCTTATATCGAAACAAGAACCCTTTGATTATCTCAACAATAATAATAATTTTGAATTCATAATAAATGATTTTCCTTTTGATGCATTACTTAAATACTTATGCAACTTATGCTGATAATTACTTTATGCTACGAGAACTGAAACAAAAATACTCTTGTTTTCTTCCTTCTGCTGTTCAACACGCTGGATAGGCGTGATTTATTTTTTGACATTGTTGCTTTGCTAATTATGCACATAAAAATGGTAACCCATAAGTTACGAAGGTAAATAAACGGTTATAGTCGCATAACGTTTTAACTTCACGTAAATTTAGCTCATTAAAATGCACAAGAATTTGAAATTACTGGAAATGCCAAGCATTTTGAAATACATCAGGTAAAAACCGAGCTATTGCGCATTTTATCTTTGAATAATAAATCTATGTCGTCGTACACACGTTTCAGATTCTCAAATTCAAAATTAGAATACGCACCTTCATCACACGAACTTTACCCAATATATTCTGGATAAATACTTGAAAAATGTGGATAAATTTCTGAGTGAATACTGTATTCCACAGTCGGTAGATAATTATAAATAGTCTTCAATGAAGCACTTTGTTGTCCGGGCCCTTCTTAGGCCCATATACTGACTCAGTGACCAATTCAAATTAAATGTTTGCTTTAAAATGATTCAAATGAAATGCTTTGTTCTGAAATTCTATTGATTTCGCCGAATGATTACTATTCTTCTTCTAGACAACAAAAGAATGATTCGATAAAATGCAGAACAGATTCGTCAAATAAAATGCAGGCTCATATTCAGCGTGCGCTACAAAGAAACAAAACCCCATTGCTACTACTAGTAAAATACAATAAATGACGTTAGTTCATTCTTCATTTTCTATTCTAATGCAGTTTACGTTTCCCCTTCTCGAATTTAACTCAAATTTGAGCTAATTTATTAGCTAATGCAATGAAATGAGTATGTCCTATTATGATTACATCTACATTCAAATTAAAAGAGATCTTGTATCAATTGTCCAAAAATCAATTTGATACACCAAATTTGTAAGATCACTACGCCAAGTTTTACAATTAATCGTCTACAATTCAATTCCGTTGTACTGATTTCTCTCTGTGTGTGTTGTGCTGTGCAAATGCATTTGTTGCACAAGGAAAATCACTTCGTAGAATATTGTGTGTGTGTGTGAGTGTAAATGTAAAAATTATTCCCACAAAAGTGTCCTTCAAATTCACTTAAATGTTAGTATAGATTCTGTATCGTTTCTTCATAATTGATTTACTCTTTTCACAGATCAATTTCTCCATCGATTTGCTACTACAAATAAAAATGATAGAATACCAATGTGATAGCACCATAATCTTGAGCTGACGCAACAACATCAACATTCGTTTGTGTATTCGTTTGGTTATCGCCCATACGACAAGGTTGAATTTATGAACTCTTCGCCGAAAAAAGAGTCTTACACATAATAAATATAATAATTTTTTGTTTTGTTATTGGAAAGATGTAGTAGGCCTTCGACGAACGAGTGCTCTTCTATAGTTCTCATTTCTCTCCTTTTTTATTTGCACTTATCCTACAGACCTGAACAAAAAAAAACCGAAAATCAACCGAAAAAAATAGATAGAATATAGTAACATAAACATATCAATGTATTAAAATTCGGCCGATAAAATGAAATAGTGTGTGTTTGTGTATTGCCTATCGTTTTCTAGCACATTGTTTACTTTTTTGTCGTTTTCTTCTTTGCCATCAGCTTCGTTTCTCCCGTCGTGTATATGTAGGTTTTTGTCATTTCTTCGTGCGTTGCTGCAATAAATTCATTTTTATTCTCGGGGTGAAAGTAGTTTGTTATCGCAAATTTATATCTATTTTTTGTGTGGTGTGAGTGAGATTTTCTCTCTCTCTCTCTCTCTTGCTTATCTTCTGTGATTGTCATTGGCGATAGTGCCAAATTGTTTGTTGTGTATTCTTTTGACACGACATTGAAACGGCAAACACATTGTTTATCATCTTGTGTGTCCTAGTTATACATAGTTTTTTTTTGTGCTGTGCCCTAGCTGATTCCATTGTGTTTTCAGTTTTTTGCTTTGTTTCTGCGGAATTTAACACACGACTGTCGATACACAATTCACACCATATAAACACATACCCACACATAAGTCAAAATTGCTTATTGCTTTATCATTTGAAATCAAAATGATTGCTGTGAGCCCTCCGACTCAAATCGATATATAAACGCAGATAGCGCATAAAACGGAAAAATATATATATTTATTTGCTATAAACGATGATAAAATGATTTCGTAGCCTCTTTTATATTCTATACACCAATGAATAGGGAAACCTTGAAGAAATTGTCCATTCTTTATAGAAATAAGTAGAAATTCGAAGCTTTGATTGGGTTTTTTTGTGCTATCAATCGCGAATGACACTTATCAAATGACATTTCAATTCCATGCTCTTGGCATTTAATTGAAGTTCTTTTTAGCTTAACGCTATAAAAAGAAAATCTATTGATATTTCCTAACTATCATTTTTATTTTATGTGTTTTTTTTGTTGCAAAAAAGGTACCATTTCCTCACCGTTGGAAACGAGCCATTCGACTCCTTCCTTTATATAATTTGTTTTTTTTTTATTTCAATATCGTAGACCGATTTTATGGATAGAGAGAGAGTATGAATTTTTCCAAATAAATCTTAAACATTATGCAATATAGACTTTAAGAAACAAACACTTAACAATTCACATTTTTTTGTCAGAGAATATTTTCATTTAATTTTTTTTTAATAAGTTATTTCAAGCATTTATACATAGAGTGTATCGTTGGTATTATCATGCAAAATTTAATTGCAATTTATTTTCCCTCTAGGATGTACAGTAGGGTGAAACGATTTGATTTTTCGGAAGAAAGTCGAAACCGACGGATACGCAATTCGATTGGACATATTAAAAGGAGACACTTTTGTTCCGGGCATACACCTTCATAGTACATCATCAGCCAATTTTGTATGTAAGAATCACCAGTTTGATCACCAAATGCGTTCTTTATTGCTCTCTCAAAAATCTGTGTGTTTTGGGACCACTATGGTTGACCTCGAGGTCGCCATTGCTTATTTGTTAACCGTAAAGACAGTGGTGAATCCCAGACTATGGAATGTCTTCTGACTAATGATCAATGATTGGAATGGACTTTTATTCAGCGTTTTCATTGCTTGTTCGACTTTTTCATGGGAAATTCATGCATGAAAAATAAAATCGATTCACCCTAACTTTTAAAGCGAAAAGGAATTGAGTTGCTTGAAATGGATCATAATAACAAGTTAGCTAGATTAAAACTCACATTATAATTGTTCATCTCTCCCCCTCTGTATTTTTCTTTCTGTATTGACTTTTATATACTCGTTTTTGGAAACACAATTCCTTGTGAATGTAGAAAGTTGGCCTAGCTACTCTTTGTACTTATTTTGTAATTGTTCATTAAACTTCTGTTTTGGATTTCAAATGCGTATCAAATCATGTTGCCATGACTTTTCATCCCTCTTATCCGTTCTCCCAACGGATATTTTAGCCGCAAAGTGGACATTATGTTACATTTTATTTTTCCCTTGAAAAGATATATTGAAAAATATATGTGTATATATATACACAAGACATTTCATTTCTATGCTCTTGATTTGTTCGCCTTTTTTCTCTTCATTTTTTGTTTTGTTTTGTTTTTAAGATAGAATCACAGATACAAATAGTAGTACAGCACATATTTGAAAATAGTATCATCAGGAAGCTTATATATATATCTTAAAAAGTACATATCATTTCGTGTTCCTTCCATGCTTTTGTTTTATTTGTTTGAAAAACATAAAATTCATTGCTAATTTTTCAATTCAAAATGTTCATTGCCTCATGAAAATGGAGAAAATTACTTGCAAGGGACCACTTTCAATCGTCAAGGGATGGGGGGGGTTGCTTAATATTTTATGTAGAATCATATTCTCGAGAAGAATATGCATCTTCCGGTACAATTTATTTGTGCAAAGTTCGCATTTTATTCGTTCGAAAGAATCAAATAGCGATACATAAAATGAAATGTGTTCTTTGGAACGAGACCGATGAAGAAAAAAAAAACGGAAATAAAATTCGGCAGTTTTCGATTGTCATGCAATCAATCTACTCGATTTCATTTAAAATATGAATAAAACCACTCAACATCCACCCGAAAGATGCAATCCAGCTTTGCATGGACTTCTCGGTATTGTAACGAAATTTCAAATATGACTACGTCAAAATTAAACATGAAATGAACCATATGGGTGTAACCCTTCTTCCTGCTCCTAATAAACAGATGATGACACACTTCAAATTATCAGAAAGTCATTCTATCATCATCTCTTTCTACGTTAAAAACAAAATATATTTTTTATCTTTACGTAAAAGTTTTTATCTGTTTGAGAAGAAAAACTAGAGTTTGTCGTAAGAATAATAGCAGATTATGGCTATTTGTAAGAGGACGGGAAGAGCATTTTGTTTGAGAAACCATATTTTTTGATTGACTTGATTTGTGTTTACAACTTGAAAGTGAATCCTTGTTCCCACGAAACCACTTCATTTATTCATTGGAATATAACCATTTCCGAGTAATTTGTTAAAAACGAAACCAAATTCCTTACCTTAACCACAGCAATGCGATTCAAGAACCGAGTTTTGTGGCGGGCAATCAGAAGTTCGCATCATCAACTCGTTTATCATTGAGAAAATCCGTCGCACCGAAATTATGTATCAATTTTACAAGATGATATCGATTCGTTGCTCAAGCAGCGGTACTTGAGAGTAATACATCCTTCATGCACAATGCACATAAATATCAATATATATTGTTAATGGCATAATGCTTTTCAAATTTCCAATGTCGGACTCTCAAAGTGCAATTAAAATTGAAAAATCGTTGGCATAGTTCAGTTCTGAATCATTGGTAGTCTGTCAGCAAATATGCCATGGAATTTGATAATTTAATGAAAGTTGCTTAGAGAGTGTGAGCAAACGAGCGAGCGAGCGCATCGTTAGCAAATTTGTTGTCAAGTATTGGATGTCTTGTCGGAGAATTCTTGGAAATTTGTTGAATGACAATGCGAATATGAAAAACCGTCTTGTTTTTATGGCATATTATATTCATACATTTTATCATCAAATAGCCCTATATTTCATTATTTTCAAAGAATGAACCGTTTTCATTAAGTTGGCTTTTTTTTATGGCTCAAGCAATAACGCCACTGACACGAGATCGATTTTTAATCATTCAGAGAATTTTCCTCATAAAACCAAAATGTAAAACCAAACATCAAATGGATGTGAAAAAAACCACAGTGATAAGCTATGTATGCAAACATGTTAACATCAACGATTTTTTTGCTGAACAATTCAACATGGCACGAAGAGCCAATAATGGCGATGGATTTTTTCGTCATACTCTTGTTTGCTCTCTACTTATGTCGGTGTCTGACTTTTCAAAAACATCTATCGAGAAAAAAAAATCGCATTGAATCGAAAAGACCCATGAACTTGTTGCACACAACAATGAATGACAGAAAAGTTTTCGTTTCGAACAAGTACAATGGTATGAAAGCAATGTACCCAATGTTAAAAATGAATGGATAAAATTGCGAATGGTCGTCATCGTTGACTGGAATGGACAAACGCTTTGATATTTCTCGAAATATACACAACAATGAGAAGCATTTGCCGGCAACGAAACAGAGATGCCTTCTACAAAATTATGGTGAGAATCCGTAATGCCAACAATCTGACATTTGTCATCGTACAGCTTATGTGTCCCACACCCTCGATATCAATCCTCATTGGTATTCGGTGTGGTTGCTTCGCTTTTATGCATGATGTTCTTTTGATTGTTGTTTGCCTTTTGCCCATACTCTCTATCTCCGCCAACACCAAATCCATTTCCTCTTAATTTGACATTGACAATCCAACGGAGAAATATTTCACTCAATTCCGAAGCGGTTAGCCACTTTATCTCTCTCTTCCTCTCCCTCGCCATCTATCTCTCTCTCTCTTTCATGATGATGAAGGGCACATTTCAAGTGTTGTAAACACACCATATAGTTGCTGCTCAAGATGTTTATATCTTGTCAGTTGCATCAACTATCGGACCTTTCGCATTTAGTAGATGCCGTAGATCGAAAATGGGTTCGCAACCCAATTAATACTTCTGAACTTCTTATGAGGTTCCATTTTTTTGCATGCTTTTTTTTCCTCCTGTAGTTAATTTAGTTGGTTTTATCCACTGTAGTTTTAGTGGCCACAAAAACAGAAATCTAATCACAATGACGTGGTGGTGGTGGCCGGATTAATACATAAAATGTGACGATGCTGGTGGATTGTTGTACGGTTGTGGTCGGGCTTTGATGAAACGTGGATTAAATGGGCCCAATGCTGCTTCGTTGGTTGACGACGGAGGTGGTTGATGATTACGATCATGGAAATGTGCTTGCAGGTACCGCTGAACGCTGGTTAATCGTGAAAGTAATGACGATTGACGCAACGAATTTTGATTCAATGCCCAATGCAATATTGGATTCAGTGCTGAGTGTGTATAACCTAATGATGAGAAAATGAAAATTGGTTTCGATTGATTACCAATTACACGCTACTTGAATAATCCGAGGTGTCAGGTGGCAATCACTGGGATACTAGATAGGTTTTGAGAATCAAAGAACTTACCCAAAAGAAGTGAATAATTAGCCGCTGTTTTCGAGTACGTTTCTCGCCCCGACCATTTGGTGCAAATGAGAAAAATGACATGCGGTGACCAACAAAATACAAATACAAACGAACCAGCGACCAAAAGACGGGCCAAACGTCGACGTGACCGCAATGTTGAGGTTTGAGGCAATGGAAGCTCAGATGGCGCAGCGTTTTTAGTATTATGCGCATGACTTCGTATACTGTGACCATAACGTAACGATCTGCAATTCAAATGAATGAGGAAATTGGTTAGTTTTTGTTCGTTGCAATTTTCTTGGAAATTCATTGATTTTTGGACAATGATAAAAGAATTCGTTATAATTTTCGGCTACTAATCGATACAAATAGCTAGTTTATTCAGTCAATCATTCGTACTTTTTGCCAACCAAACACACACCATACGCAAGGGATGAACGCTTGATTGTAATTTATTTAAGACACTCATGCATCAATCATAGTCTATTCATGGAATGAAATTTATTGTGTTCGTATAATCCCCTTAATTAGATTATGTATATATGCCAAACAACAATCATCCTGGATGTTCTACGTCACAAAACTTTGCTCATGCATGTAACATGACTTCGGTTGGGTGTAAGAATATCGTTTGTATTGTTTTAAGAAATTGTTTTTGTGGTCTTGAGATGCCACATAAAGTAATGAGAATCGTTGGTGAATGTTTCGCATGAAAAATGAATACAATGGGGCATTTTCCGGCATTTGCGACAAGAGATTTCCGTCCACCTTTACGAATAACATAATACCAATGAGCAACAACAATTTGACTGGAATTTAATGATATGGTTCTACTTTGGAAATACCAAGGAACTCACTATGGCTTAGCTGTTTCATGTGTTGAGTTATCGGACTACACTTAAATGGACGTTTAAACAACTCATTATTTTCGAAATTGAAACGTATACATACGGAACGATGCTTGAATTTAATGAAATTAATTTTAAATTGAATTTAAATGTAATAGATCGGTTTACGGCCTCTATTAGAGGCCCTTTATCAATGTGCACATAAATTATAGACCTACGCAATGTGCGACTGCTTTGAACCGTAAACATTGTTTATGGCATTGTTTTGAATTGCGTACGTATCCATTGGATACTCTCATCTGCTCGAGCTCAAATTGCGAATGGACTTAATTTGATATTCAATACAAAATTATCATTCATTTTGTATTAGATACGAGGAAATTCGTGATGCTTGATTAATGTTCCCATTATTTTTGCATGCATCAAAATATTCATTTCATTTTCAATGAAAATGAGCGAAATATCGTTTGCCAAAATTAATTCGGATGAAGATTGTATTTAAAATTTTGAATGAAAGCAAGTGCAATTTCCAAACGATCAAAAGAAAAATTTGTAATCCAAAACGCGTTTGTTGAGCCCAAAGTAAGAGCCAATAATAAGAGCGCAAAGTAAGAGCTCATGTATTTTGAATCGTTTCTCGACCATCGAAGTCAAAGTTCGTGGCTCAAACGATTAAAATATGTAATAAATTGGTATGCTATAGCAAGAGTTATTTACAGTCTCGTTCGGCATTGAATCTGGTCTGTCTTGAAAACGGTGCGCATACACACACCGTAAAATTACCGATTGTCGGCACTGTGTTGGTATAAGTTTGGTCGCAAAACTTCAACCGCATAAATTGTGGTTTTCGATTTGCTTTGCTCACGCATCGTTAAGTTACAGTATAGGATGCACACAATTCGGTGAATCCGTTCGCAAGAACTGAAGTACCTTGAATCGTTTAGTTTGAGCGAACGCTAATTATTATTACGAGATTTTCATGCTTCAGACAATGTTGTGGCTTTAAGTTTTCCCCGTTTATTGGTAGTCAGCTGTGTAAAAGCGTTGCTCTCGTATAAAGTTTCATTGTTTAAACGTTACCTTTTAATGATGCACACGCAACGGTAACATTTAAAACGTACAAAATCTCAAATGCACGGATTAGATTACAAGGAGCGAAATTAAAAGACCGCAAAATTTGTTGAGCAAATACGAAAAAAGTCACCGTTTTCTTGTGTTTGTTTCCTTACAATGTGACTGCACCCTTTGAATGAATACCATTTTCGTGGAATTGCAAAGAACAAGTCGCATTTTAGGTTTCGGATTTTCTTTTGTTGTTGAAGCGAGCAAATGATTTGGTAAAAAAGAAACCCACAAAAAACACGTACCTTGGTGTGCGCGGCGTAGCCTTCAAACGTGTCGAATCCATCATGTATCGTCTTTCATCCTTTTGCTGGTTGTTTTCGTCATTTGTGCTATCGTCTTCTTCGCGTACAGCGCTGCACCAAATCAAAGTAATTTCGAAACAAACTTACTGAATATAATTTTATTACAGCAAAACTATTTCTACTATTTCGTTTTCTCGAATTGGACAAGAAAGGAAAAATATATGAGATAATCCAAATGAAAACTTCACAAAATAAAATAAAATATGCTTTGATATGACAGCATGAGTTAGTTCAAGAACCTTGAATATCTCGTTATATTTTACTTACTCAGCGTTGGCCATTCCCGTAACGATAATCATGTGCGTTGGTCGTCTCATGATTGGCATGGGCAAGGGCAGTTCACCGTGTGCAGCTCGTGCTGTCAACGATAGAGCACACAGCTTATGGTGCACACCCAAATGATTTAAAATGACACCGATACCCGGCAAAATGAACACCAGCAATGTGTAAATTGTTAGAAAAACACTGGGCATTTGCATTGTGCCAAACGTTCCGAAATTTAGCTGACACAGCGACCTCGTCGTCTCCGGAATGGTTTCGTTTGTACCGTTTGTACCGTTTATCACGGCAAATGGACTGGTGCTGAGTGTGCTGGATTTTGTATTGTTTTCAATCAACAGCGTTCGACTAAAACCCGACGATATTTGGGCGGCCATAGTTTGATTTGTTCGTGTCGAATTAACCATTGTCTCATAATTTGCAGTATTTTCCAACAGAATTGGGATGCTGACACAAATTGCGCTAATCCATGATGCAAATGCGAGAAATGTTGGTAAAAAACGGCGCTGTCGCAATTGTGCCAAGCGTGGATGTTTTACAGTCGCATATCGATCGAGGGATAACATCAACAAACTTATCGTACTCGCAGCCACCGGAACCGACTGGAAATGATCAAACGAAACATGAACATTATTACTCTTTTTTACAACTTTACTTGGTTTTTGAATGGGAAATCTTGCAACGATTCGTCGCATGGCATTGTTCGCAACGCACTCTCGACTACATCCAGTGGAATAAAAATAAACTAACCGTTTTTGCAATATTGAAAATTAATGTAGCGCTCAAAACCATCGATTGTTAACGGTGCAAGCGTAAAATCGACATTATGACCAAACATAGCACATATTTTCACGCTTCCGACCATAACCGAAAAACGAACATTTATTGCGAACAACCAACCGCTTGATACTACAATCTTTTTCGTGAAGAAAAGTGATGAATGAAAATCGGTGAAATGAAACGAACTACTTAATCGTCTTTTTCCCCCCAACAAACACCAACAAAAAGAAACGAAAAAATATAGTCGGAACAAAAACTATGCGATTTTATCGGAATGTGCAATTGTGCAACGTACGCGTCACCGTCGACGTCGTCGTCGTCAACAACAGAAAAAGCGCGCCGTTATGCCATTTGGATAAACACAAAGTGTATTTGTATGTTTCGCTGGCAATATACCCGCACTGCTGAACTAATAACCGTCTTAATCTAGTTTTACGTCAATGCAATAAAAAAGAATTAATCAAAATAAAAGCTTTTTGAAGTTGATGTCGTTGTTTTCGCTTTTTTCCCCACATCTCTTTTTTCTCTTCCATAACAACATTCCTTTTATAGATGATTCTTAGCGTTTTCGGTTTGCTACTTTGCACTGTTGTTGCCACTGAAGATTTCTCTTTCGTTGGCATATTCTTATTTTTGCCCGAGAAAGAGAGAGAAAGTGAGAGTTTTATTTAATGCGTTGCAGTCGATGAACTGGATGTCGGTCCCTTTTTGCGTTATCAGATTCTTTTTTTCTTCTTCCCTTCTCACTCAACTCGAAGACCATTTACACACGTTCTGTGCATCGTCGCAACGAACGACCGAGATAGTGTGTGTGTTCGTGTGGGAGAGAGAGAAAAAGAGAAAAGGAGAGAAGGAGAGAAAGAGTGTGAGATCGAGCGAAAAAAAAGGAAAATATTTTAAGTAAACGGCGAAAATGAGGTGAAAATGTGTCAGTCTCTGCACTTTCTGCATGGAATGAGAAGCACTTCGAATCGCATCTTTGCTTATCCATTTTTTTTTACTTAGCTTGAGCATTTTTCCCCATAGCGAGAAAAAAGGGCAATATTGACGTTGACATTTTCAGGTAAAATGGTGTTGTGTATGTGGAAGCAAAAAAATGCGCGGGAAAAAAATTCAACGTGGAAAATTCTAAATAAGTCGAGGATGATAACAATGGAAAAGAGGTGAGCGAAAAGCGAGAAATCGCACGTCACATTTCGCACACTAAAAATTATTTCCATTCATCTCGGATAAAACGTTCAGCTTAAGTTTTATTTAAGCCGTATGAAAAATATGAGCATATTTTAAATATTTCCATCTCAAGCTGCTCCAGTGCATGGGATTTATTTCAATCTGAAAATCGCTTCAGTTTTCATTACTCAAATAGCATTCAGGATAAACATATCGCATTCATAAAAAAAATTTGTTCTGTTCTCGTTCATGTGAATATCAGAAAAACAGTTTTCATTCATTCCTTTTGGGAAATTCGATTCCTCGTAAAAAAAATAAATTGAATGAAAAAATATTGCGTATGTTATACATGCATATATGCATAACTGAACTCTCTTTTTCCTCGTCGAATTCGACGCATTTTCAATGGAATAATATTTATTTTTCGATGGAATTATCTTTGTCACCTACTGTGGCTTTTTCGAATTCGTTTTTTGTGCGCATATTTGATTGTGTGAAAGAGATAAAAAGGTAGACTGCTTTTTTGTGATGCAGAATTTGCGATTTTTTTTCTTCTAGAGGGTATGGAGAAAGGTTTCTCTTTTGGTTGAAATCGATCGAAAAAAAAAAAGATTATGTCCAATTGCTGGAAAAATGAATCAATTTGATGGTAAATACGGTCTACTTCAAACCGGACGGATTTTTTATCTACTGAACTGTTCATGGAATTGATTGAAAGCGTTTATTATCGAGGAAATCATCACGTTTCGACCGATGACATGAAATGAAAGCGATACTTTTTTCTTTAATGGGAATCACATCAATTAAGGTATCAAATAGATGCTGATAACGGACTGACTTGTGCTAAAGAGGGAGAGAAAAAAAATTTGCAATTTATATTCATTCAATGGAAAAGTGAGTCGGTTGTAACACAGCATTTAATCCTTTCGATAGGATTGCATTGAATATAAATGCTTTGCATCTTGTTGTCGAGACTCGTTTCAGTCATTCTGCAGAAAGTGAAAAATGTACGAGATTTGGAATACATTTTCCCTGGAATTGGACAAAATCGAGCAGATGAAAGTGAAAATATCTGAATCTCGTAAATTGCTTTTTTTTACTGTGAACACGAAAAATAATGCGATTCGTTTAATTGAAACGGAAGATTAAGTTTCTGACAGTTGAAGTGAAAGATTGGATCCCTTATGATTTTTCGCTGTGCGAAACCATACGACGGTCGGTAAATCCATTTGAAACTTCTTCATTTGGCTTTGTCATATTATTATATTGTTATGTCATGTATTGTATTTTCTATTGTTAGAATGAAGTTCGCATTGTTTTCAATTTCAAACTTTTAATTAAATTTACCTTCTGAGACGAGCGCGGTATGAAAATCAGATTATTGTCATATTGAAAGTGACGACACATGTTTGATATAATTTTCGCGCGCAGTGTTCGTATGTTGACAACGGCCATAATTCAGTCATCATATTAAACAAAGATTGACATAATCGCAAACGCCTACTGAGTAAGCAAGAGCGAGAAAAATCGGCATTCAATTAGTACCACCGTCTTTGAGTCGGTTTCCGCGTTGTCAGCAAATGTTCCGCGTATATAAAACCGCTGCGGCAATACTTAAATTTTCGCTTCATTTTATCGCATGGCACATACGTGCTTATTTTTTTTCTCTTTTGCGTCAATCATAATCGTCTATAATATAATGAAATGATTACTAATTAGAAATTTATTGCATTGAACGACATTAAAATCGCATTAATTTCGAAATACGCACACCACACTAATCCGATTGCGTTGGAATTGCGAACGGCAATGATGGAAATCAGGAGAAACACAAACGAAACGAAATCAAATCGATTTTAACGTTACAAAATGAAATGTGTGGCGAAAACGGATCGGCAACGAAGCAGACAATATCACATTCATCTCATTAAATTTAACGATAATTTGAGCGCCTTAACGCTGATGATGTGTCGTCTACACATTTGATCCGATCGTTGTTAATTTATTCGTTTGAGATTGGACGCGGGTGAAGTCGTTTTGCGTTCTAATGATTTTTATCAGACTTTTTCAAGCCTTTACACCAAGGCTGAAATGAGGCTGTTCTTTTTCCCCGAAACATTTTAATGTTGATAATTATCAACGAAACTTTCCCAACTAAATAAGTGTTCGATCCATGGCCAGCATAGTATTCAACAGCTTCGAAAACTGATGGATAAATATTTGTTAAAAGTTTGCAAATTAATTCGCTGAATGGAGGAAATTATGTCTCGTGAGTTAAATGCGAGCTATCTCAAAATCTGAAAACCATTTCCATTGATTCTCAACTTCGGAATTTGAATTTATACTTTCATAATTAAATGGATGTTTCTCTGGTTCAAAGCCATTATCAAATGGGTGCAAAGTATATTAACTTGACTCTGATTGGTCGTTTTGGGAGATAGAGAAATAAAAACATTAAAATTATATTTTTTTCAGTCTATTCCAAAACGGGACGACGTTGGTATCGTATTTTTCGTTGTATTTCACTCGATAAAAGCCATTTTATTCATGTAAAATTGCATTTTAATGAATAGGTTACTAAGTGGTGCCTAACTTTGTAAATGTTCATGTTAAAGAGTTTCTTGATGCTGTGAAGTGTTTTTACAAGGTTTGCTCAAAATCAAATTACGCATCTAATGGATTTTGTGGCGATAGTGAACGAGAAAAAAAGTAATGTTTGAACTAATTCCTTTTTTATTCGATGACTCGCAATTATTTTGGATTACTCCCCCATTTAATGCCCTACGTATGTGAGTGACCAAAAGAAGAAGAAGAAAAAACTGTTGGGAAAGGTCCATTTTTATGCGTTGGTGGAGAAATGCCATGGTTTGGATATAGACTTAGCCAAAAATCGATAAGAACCGATGAATCATTCGAAATGCAAACAAATTGGTTCGAGGCTGATTAGCTTCTCCTCGCCAGAGATTAGACGACGAAAAGCTTCTTTACGCTTTAAGTCGATTGGTCTTTGGATATTGATGGACTCTGCGCTAACTGAATACTATGCTTAAGCTTCATTGATCTCTGCGTAAATCGACTTTTTCACTTATATTGCTAAGCTCTCGGCCAAGCGCGTGGCAGCATTATCATTTTCCCATTGTCAAATGATTTGTCAAAGCTAGGAAATGAGAGGCAGCAAATTTTCATTCCTAAGATTTTTGCAATTCCAAATGATATTGATAGCATATTTTTGCTAGATTGTCAAAAGCGCCCATGATCCTATCGTACACATTTCAATCATTCTGTTGAATTACAAAGAATGTGTCATAGTTGAACTTACCTGCGCAAAATGAATGATTTTGCAAATGAGCGTCGAGGTGATGGTTTTGCGTGCATCGAGAAACAGTGCAACGACAGTCAATGGTGCAGCAACGCCAGTTACCATTAAATCGGCTAAACATAATGCAACCAGCAGTGGATTACGAAGGCGGGCAGACGATTGTGTAAAGAGTGTGACAATGAGCGAAGCATTACCGAAAATTCCACCGAGCACCACAACGAAGTACAGTACAATCATCAGCAACATCCAATAGTTGGATATAATTGATGCATCATCATCATCAACAATAGCAGCATGTTCATTGTTGCTAAGTTTAGCAGAGCTTAAATTAGCCGCTTGCTGATTCGAGGTCAACGCTGACTGAATTGCATCCGAAACACGATCGACAAACGAGCTCGAAAAATTATGCAATTGTCGACGCGTGAGTGATTCAAAGCGATTGTTTAGCTGGATAGTTGTTGACAATGGTGACAATGAATCGGATGCATCGACACTGGGACTGTTGGCAGGCAAGTTTTGAGCAATATTACCGCTTCTCTCATTAGCTATGCCACTCGATGTGTTGTGATTATTTGAATGGTAATTGTCTGAACTACTGATACTATGAATGGTTTTGCTGAAGTCGGATATATATCGATTAAACTGTTCTGCATGCCATTTTGGATGTTGGCCCATTATTAAAGCTAATCAGGTCATACGAATAGCGTTTCGTTCCTTGAGATTCGTCTGCGTTGCTGCGCTGTTGTTGGTGCTGCTACTGTTGATGCTGTTGTTGATGTTATCGTCGTTGTTGTTGTCGTTGCTCATTCACATCCACAGCGCAAGCCAAATTCAATGGTATTCATCCATGGCTTCGCTGCTGCTGGTGCCGTCTTCCGCTAATCTCCAGCACATATAAACCAAACTAAACAGAGAATGAGAGACGAAGAAAGCAAAACAACGTTATTATTACGAATTTATTTCAATAAATTTTATCGGTCATAAAATGAATGGAAATGAAGAAAAAAAAAACTTTTTTTCTGTCATTCATTTCAAAGCATGTCATAGTCGCTTGCGCTCATATATGTGTATCTATGCGTTGTGCACAGTAGAGCGAAGAACAACTTTCTCGCTTTTGTTGCGAGAATTGGATCAACGGAAGTATCATTTGCGTTCATGATTGCGATTACAGCAATAATTTTATGCATCACAATGGCAAAGGCGAACAATTGAGTGATCGACAGTGACAATTTCGAAAAATCCATAGAGGTTTTCGGATTGGATATGAATGTATGGGTTTTTGTTGAATTTTCCCCACATTTCAAATAATAAATAACGCATAAAAGTTGAAATGGCTGACAATATCGGTCGGCACATCGGCAAACAAAGAAAACGAGAGCAGAAAACGAAGCGAAACGGAATCGAAATCCTTGGGCGAAAACAACTTTGCAACTCACAATGGAATCAATGAAATCCATCTGGCTTGATGCATAAATTTTTGATTCGGATATATATTTTTGAGCACATTTATATATTTCATAGCGCAAAACTAACGGATTGAATGCCACAAATCTGTAAATCCCTTTGCAATCACCTTCAAATCGATTTTATTTAATGGAAGCAGCAGACATTTGACGTCCGAGAATGACACTTTGCTCCAGTTTTTTCTTTTCGTACTCTTCGGTAGCATTGATACGCTCCCACAATGGCACAATAGATCCGAATGCATAAAACACCAAATTCCGGCAATCAAATTGTGTTCACCCACGGGTCATCATTAAAAGTGAGGAATATAAATATTGAATTTAATATTTCCGTCATAAATCGGAATGGACGACTTCATGGCGCTTACAGTCATTCTCTTTATCTCTCTCTATCTCTCCGTCGCTAAGTCGATACAAATGGTCTGACGCGCCTCGTATCAATAAGGCTTTTACTGTTTGCATGCATTAGTGTATTGATTCATAAGGGTCAACATGATTATTATTCATTTTAACCCTGATAAAATTCATTGTTTTCAAGCATGAATATGCTGACGTCCTGAATTCAAACGCCTGTTTAAGGAAGTGAACTGTAGACACTCGGTAGCTGTAGCTGACGTCGTCGTTGTGTCCATGATTCAATTCACTTTGAGTGGGAATGAAGATTGGTTACGTAACATGGACCAAATAAATAGTTGGAATAAACATTTATGATTTTTTCGTCGGAGAAATATGCGTCCGGTTACTTTTGCCACCACTTTTTATATTCTAGACAGGCAAAGTGCAGAAATTATACGTGATCGCACGTATTGACACATACAGTACATATGACAAAACATATGATACCTCATGTGCTAAAATTAATGTGATGGCTCAGAAAAACGGAGCCCAAATCCATAAGAGAGGAAAAATGGTCGTTATTTCAACTGTTGTCGGGTAACAAGATAACAAATTCGAGAACAATGAGACATGCCGAAGATTTTAAGACGGTGCAGATTGATCTAAATGACACAAGGGTTTTCAAGCCTACATGCATTTACATATACTTGTTTAACGTTCGGTAACAAAGAAAAAGGAAAGAAGGAAAAAAGGCCGCCTATCATATCAACGAACAGTATGAAAAATGTTGTGCGGCGTGCACTGCTTAACATTTTGCTCAAGCTAAAATATTATAATGAGACACAATTCATTTCAATCATCCATGAAACAATCAAATCTATCGAAACGAAAAAAAGTTGCAACCAATTTTCTTACATGACAAACCTTCCGATGAATTGTCAAAATAAGTTTCAAGCGCAAAAATCGAAGTGTACAAAACATCCAAGTAAATATCTCTTTTCATTCCGGTGACATTGAGTTTGTTTTCAATTTCATTGATGTTTTCTTAAAGAATGGAATCTTTGGTCCTTAGAATGAAATCCATGCGATAATTGAAAACTCCAAAAAGAGCTTGTTCCCATAGTTTTACTCTCCTTGAAGTTCATCCAATGGAAAAAAAAGTCAAACTAATTCAATTTCCTAATAGCAAATGCATCAAAGGATTATAATTTTCAATAGAAAAATTCTTTGTCCAATGTTTCGTCTGCATCGTTTTCAATGTCTTTGGAATTTATAAACGCTTTGAACATTTTTGAAAAGTTGTTAAGTTCAGGGCCGTGTTCTCTATCAAATTATCATATATGAGAAGTCATTTCTTCGAAGTATACATGTGCGCTTGTTTCGCATTTGCCATTTTCTGCATCGAAACTGTGTTGTTGTTGTCATTTTCTAATATTTTTGATTGAATTCCGTTAAGATCATTTTACACAAGCCAACGTTTTTTTGGTTATGTTCTCTTTTATTTGTTACTTTCGAGAGAAAAAAAACTTCAAAATTCATTATTTAACTTATTTTTCCACGTCTGTCGTGAGTTCAACTGCGACATCGGCCAATTGGGCAATAAATCAATTAATAAGAACAAACGACGGACAACAACATATTTTTAGTTGTAATTCAATATTCTTTATTGTGACTTCTCTGATTTACGGTTGACATAGAAGTGATTAAGCGAATGAAAGACTTGAAGCATGAAAGGCAAAACATGAGTGAAAGTAAGAATGTCTCGAGTGTGTTAGTTTAAAAGCATGAATGAGCTAAAATGAGTGGTATGGTAATGAGTAATTATTGTATGAGTTATGAATATGAGCAGTTATCACCTCACGTCAAACTCATTTAAATAACTTTTGAAAGTACCGACTTTTATGTGCGTGCGTGCATGTTGAAACTTTACCGTACTCTTGATGCATTTCTGCGAAAACGAAACAAACCCAGTTACACAATGATGGTATGCTTCAATCCCGAGAAGAAACGGCAACACAGCCAAACTAGTAAACTAAAAAAAAACTTGCGTCAATGACAACCGACGAAGTTTATCACTTTCTCAGGAAAATCGTCAGCAGCATCGGTGTAATTCGTCGACTCATTATACTGACGATGTTAAACCTCAATCTACATCGTTCATCCCACATTACAATCATTTCGGCACTAAAGGTATGCACAACTACGACTGCGATGATGACGACGACGACGATGTCGTTAGTTTTACGTAAATGTTTGTAATTAATCGCGTTCATCCAACTTTTGCAACGGATACGAAGGGATGTGTACAAACGAGAGTCGAGAACTGTTGATTTAATTAGATGGAAAGTTACAAATAAACATGAGTCGCATTGCTGAATGAAAATTTCCGCCGGAATGGTAAAATATATGGCGCTCTGTGATTTTAACTCAATGCCGGTTAAATGTACTTGTAAAACTATACCTCGGTGTGGGCGCGCGGGCGCACACGTCTATAGAGCATTTTGATTAAAATCCTGAACACACCAGATATGAACCAAGGTGTGAAGAAGTTGAAACAGTAGGGTGACTGTGGTTTGAAACGACTTTTTCCTGAGCTCATATCATTTCATCATTTAAATCTCAGACTGAAACTCCTGCTCAATCGGAAAAAGCAGCCGTCTCTCACCCTATTAATCAAAAGCTTTCATTGCTATTCGAATCTAGCAAGTAAAAAAGCGAAGTGTTTACAAAACGTAAAAGTTTGTCCTTCGGATTATTTATATTGAGCACGCATGCAGAACAAGCATCCACATTGTACCGTTCTGGTGAATTTGGTTAATGAAAAAGTAAATGTGGAATGAAATGAGGTGATGTAATTGAGTTTAGATTGGATTTTAGCTACGGAACGTGCATTCGCCTTTCAGTTTTTAATATTTATACACTCGGAATTTTGCTATACGCTTCATCTGCATCCCATTATCTATCGCTTTATTGGAGATGCAAGTCGCATTCCCCGACCAAATTCAGTTTCCACAAGTTTTCGAATTGTAAATCCGACACGCATGGTGCAAAGCGTATGCAGTATACATACAATGGCCGAATATCTATCGTTCTCGCTTCATTGGAATGGTGAAAGCGTGCTTTTAAACCCGATTCTCTTCGACATTACAAATATAGCTTCCCTTCGCTTTTGAATTTATTTTGAATGTATGTTAAACTATGGAGCGATTTGTTCGCATTAGCTTCGAATGACTCTCAAGCAAACTTCCACGCATAAAACCACACAGCAACTAATTTTTCAACTACTCATTGGCAAAAGTGGTTTATCTGTTTCACACATCTGCTCGAGACATTTTGTTTTGGTTAGTTGTATTTTCGAAGAAAATTTTATATTCGCTTTGATGCATAGAAACTAGATGCCAGTGTTCCGATGCATTGTTGCTTGTGTGTGACATTGAACCAATTAACAGTATCCAAAGCTATGTATGAATTCATGCGGTGCGTCGCAAAAGACACGATTTTTCAGCTTCATACAGAGACATACGGAGAGAGAGAGAGAGAGAGAGAGAGAGAGAGAATAACGCACGTGATTCATTTAAAGTTTTAAAAGTGTGTCCTTTTATCTTGCTACCTTTTAAAGGTAATGAAGTTTATGACGCAGACGCTTTTTTAATACATATTCGTTGCGAAATTCTTTATTCATGCACACAAAGGACGATGCTTTTAAATTCAGCCATGATGTGATGACTGCTACAATGTGCAAATCTCGAGCGTATGCTATCGCTGTTGTTGGTACTTTTACTGCTACTGTTACTGTTGCTGCTCCTGTTGCTGAGAGTATTTGAGGGAAAATTTTTGTATTCAGTCCAAATGTTGTTTATTTGAATGGAAGAAGTTCAGTCCATATGATTTGCATGGAAAATCCTCAATAAATGGAAAATTAGGAATGTCAGACGAGTTGATTGAAATGCTTCTATTCTTGAAACCGAGCGAAAATAATGACAACTAGAGAGATTTTCGTTCATTACAAATTTCCATGAAAATCTTGAATTGCTCCTTGCCTCAAGTCATTTCCACACTCACGCACTAAATACGGAACAGCGGTACTAGTAGCTACCATTTATCA